ACTCTTTCCTTCATCTTCTTCGGCATTCGATGTGATTTACTAAATAAAAATTTTTCAAACTTTATTGATTCTTGGCGTAATTTAGTCAATTTGAATCACCACAACTCCACGTTTTCTAAAGTGATGTAAAGAAACTTCAATGTTCTTGGATGGTATCCAAAGCGTATCTGTATAACGCTGTTATAATTTCCTGATCGTGATGTCCGATTGTGCCAGGCAAAACTACGCGCACCACCGATCCGTCAATTTTACACGAAACATTATGTATTTGTATGAAAAATACATATAAATATATTCCCATAACTTGTTCTATTTATAAAAATTAATTTCGAGATAGATAGAAATAAAATTTCACAGTTGTTATTAATTTTGAATGATTAATAGTACTATAAGTACTATAAGTAGTGTCAATTAGATTCTTCGCTGGCTACTTCGTAGCCAGGATTCAGATAAAGCACACAACGCGTGGGTTCTATTCTCATATAACACGCGCAGAGGGCCCTTAGAGGCCCTCACGCTGAGAAGAGGGCACGAATCTAACAACTAACGAACGCATGCATCTATATTTCTATAACGTTGCGCGCGGGATTTGTTCATTTGTCTTATATTTCGCGTCACTGAGCGCGTGATTGTCGAGTATGAGAGGAAATTATAATTGAAAATGTTCGATAACCGATCGACCTTAGCTTCGTTTCTCGTCGCATTAAATCGAGAAAGTGGTCGTTTCGCGTTAACACTTTTTTATGAAAGTCTCTTTCATCCTAGCGATACCGTGTCCATAAAGACCGATGGGACGATGGCCGATGGGACATTACTTGTTGTATAGCTCGAAAGAATTTTATTTAACTTGAAAGAGAGAGAGAGAGAGAGAGAGAGAGAGAGAGAGAGAGAAAGATGCGCGATGGCTTTTGACACCAGAGATACGCGAGAACGTGTGACATATCGTGTATCATTCGTTTCGTATCAACCTTATACCTAATATTACTGTTAAGCACTAGCGTTTCTTTTCTACTGCAGATTTTATTGCGACTTGCGATATATCTCGAAATCTCTTATTACTTAAAACAGAACGATTTTTTTCTGTCACGATACTATCCCGAGTTTGTTTCAAGACGGTACTTTTCTTTATCCAGCTGGTGGGGAACATGTGTGGGGAACGGAGACGCCAAATTTTTCAATAGCCACATTAAGAAACGCAACACAGTTGACGCTCGTCTGCGAGAAATGCATTACGTAACTGTCACGATAACGAAACGACTGCTTGAAATCAAGAAACGCACAGCGATACGTGACTTTCAATTTTAATGGTCGAGACTTTCGAAGACACGTTTCAAAACCAAGAGGGAGCCGATATAGAAACGGTAGAAAAATTTTCGTTCTTTCGAAGCTACAAATAACTCCGACGCGTATAACACTACGTCTTGCTACGTATCAAATACAATCGCGTAATATTTTACAAATAGGAAAAAATATGTACTGATTTAATTCAAAAATGAAAATTTGGATCCTAAAACTTGTATAGCTGACTCCTTCTCCTCGTAAATGTATGGCAAGAATTATATTTCCAAGTAACGTTGCAAAGAGATCGTTTTATATTCCTACGTGCGCGTCAATCTAATATTCTAATCATTCTAATGGATGACTGCGTGGGTCAACTATCTATGTTAATTGAAATAGTAATTAAAGCTAGGACGATCCGAGAGAGGTACACGGTACACTTTGCATACAAAGTGGTGTAAGTACGCGCGATTAATATTATTTCTTCGCAGGAATATCATTTTTAGCGTATTTTCAAACATCATTAAACTCTCCAGTTGATTAAGCCAAAAACACGCGCGCACGTGTTCCATATTCCACAAAGGCTTGAAATTTTAGGATTGACACATGACCATGTGACCATGTGACCATGAAACTGCGACAAGGTTCATTTCATCAAATTATTGCGTGCATAAGTTTATGTCCATAATGGTAAACGAATCTACAAAAAGAAACGACAAAACAATTTTTAATAATAAGAAAATATTATAAACTCTTAAAACATATATAGAAAAGTAATTAAACTCTTTTCTTTATCACAGTGGTAACTATAATTACAAATAAAAGCTGAAAGTTTATTTTATATATAATTTTTTTTACAACATTTATCTTTTAATTTAGAAAATCCAACTAACACAGACCATTCTCGTGTTCATCCCGCATTAAGATAATGGTTGGTTTAATACGACTTTTAATACTACGTTCCCGTACGCAAGAATGAACGAGTTATTGTGATGTAATAAGCAAGAGAAACGACCGGACAGAGCGTTTCAGGTTTCAGCTGTAAAAAGAAACAAAAAACCTATAATTCAGTATCCTCATTCACTTGTCAGTGAGATCAAGCTGACGGAGATAAGTAAGCCGAGAGGAAAAGTTTAGGCAGAATCCTACATCGCGTACGCCCGAGACCCGAGATAAGCTCGCGGAACAGCGGTGTTTCGTGGGGCGCGACTCAAAGAACACAGAATTAAAAGGAAGGCGAGGATTTACGCGACGCGACGTAAAGATTCGATGATGTAAGTTGCTAGCGTGGATCGTGCGTGGCACGCGCCAAGCTTGGGATTTTCGGTGCGACGCGACGCGAGTCGCGAGTGCTCGCGAGATAGGTGTCGACTGTCGGAGCGGACTCGAAAAACGGGATCTCGCGTCACGCGACCCGAATCTCGCGGATAGGGATAGGTCCGACCGAACGAAAGGTTAGAAAGCACGTTTGTCGAGGACGAGCGAAGCATAGTCCCAAATATGGAGGGGAAATACGTGACTCACGGTAAGGACAGTGACTCCGGGATACTCCTTCGTACCCAGGGCCAAGCCAAGTGAAAAATCCTCGTGACACGCGCGTTCCTCTCCAGGCTACATCGGGCGAACGCACTCGCACCTCGCACCTCGCACCACACACTGCAGGAACAGTTGCGATCAGTTGCGGACTTTGGTGCAACTTGCCTTGCCGCACGCTCGCGCGAGCCTTGGCGCTCGGCTCCGACAAGTCGGTACAACGTCGGTGGCAATCACATTGATAGCCGTTCGGACGTCAGCTCCCTTCGAGGATCGTACACACACCAGCTCACACCAGCTCCAGCTGTGTTTTTGCCTGACCATCGAGAGGAACTCGAGCATGCGCATGCGCTCTCCGCGGTGCCGCCACTGTCGGCACTGTCACCTGTCAGTCCTGTCAGTCCTGTCACCGTGTCGCCTGATGGCGGCGTCACAGTACTCACTGGAGTCAGGTGACACTGGTGACAGTGGTGACACTGGTGGAAAATGGAAACCGGCCTTTATAATTGCCTTGTCTGTTGCCTGGCATTGTGCACGGGCCTTTAATTGGTTATCGCTCGTGATTGGTCCGCCATGTTGTTTCACGTCAATCACGTCCAATGTAAAATAGGTCCATACTGTCCAGACTCTCTCATGGGGACTCTAAAATCTCGATCTATCTTCCATCAGTTCCATCACGGCACGGCAACTTCAGGCCACTCCAATCTTATCTTGAGGTGAGATTGGTGAGAATCGTCTCAAGTCTGGTACCGTACAGGGTCTCAAGATCGTGCACAAGACAATCTTGAAGATCGACTATAAATACCACCCCATCCCCCCTGCTCTCTCGCCCCTCGCCAAGAAAGAAATGAGAAAAAGATTAATTACAGCTTTACAGCTAGACAACTAGATTATAAAAGAGAAATGTAAAATTGCGAATAAAATGATTTCACGTTTAACGTCCAACGAAAGATCCCATCTTTCTCGATTACACTTTATTGACGAATAAAAATATAAAATGTATAAATTTGCAATTAAAAAAATATCGGGCCTCTCCGGGATTTGAACCCGGGACCTCCTGCACCCAAAGCAGGAATCATACCCCTAGACCAAGAGGCCTGATGACCGTTTCGTTTCAAGAAAGGTAGATCAGGCACGTGCTGTTGTAGGAACATAGCGTAATATGATCTGAATCGCATCTAATTGTAAGAAAGCATTCAAGTGTCGATAAACACAAAAGATATTTTATTCCAGACGATAATTTACGGTAAAATATGTGCGCGCAATGACACGTATGTGTATATATAATTCGAATTTGGGTCTAAATATCGTCATTGTTGGCAATCATAATGATCTCCTCTCTCCCTCTCGGCTGCCATTATAAATTAGAAACGGCATAAATCTCGCTCGGCTGATGGCTCGGCATCGCATCGGGTCGAGCCACTCGAGCCGTCGAGAGCGAGAGCGGCGCGCGGCGCTTCTTCCAGAGGTTCGCGAAAAGCGTAGGTCGCGTATAGCTGCAACAAGTGTTCCCTAATCGATATCACATGCCCTGCCAAACGCAAAACTCTTCCGACGGCGCAACGCGAACAAGGAGCCCTTCGTCTTTTTCTCATTGATGACATCGTCCTCTTACTTTTCTTTAAGAAACCTATATATATCGTGTTTGGGATACATGGCATATATCGTAGCTAGGTCATATAGAATAGAATATAGAAAATAAATAATAATGATACAACTGAAAAGAGTCGATCCATATATGTTTGCCGCGTCACCATCGCCGGCCATTCCTCTTTCCTCCGTCCTCTGTCGATCCCCTTACTCCCCTTGCCGGCCTTGCTCCTATTCTTCTCTAGCTCTGGCGAAATTAAAATTCGTTAACAGAGGATGACTATATACGCTTCGTTCAGACATCGGCAATCGTTTTTTATCCGTCGCGTCGCGTCGATTCGACGACTTCGACGTGGCGCGATGATTTATTTTTTTCACAGGCTGTTTCTCATCCCTATCGTTATCGTTGCCGCGTGTCGACGACGATGTTTTTTTTCTCTCTCTCTCTAGCTCTTTTTCTCTATTCTCCCTCATTGTTTTCTCACGTCTCTCTTTCCTTCGCTTTATCATATTCTACGTTTTGGCTCGGTTGGCCCCCAGGCTCAGTACCCGGCGGCGCGTGGCGCGTTACGACTCACGGCGCGTCGCAATCGATTCACGCCCTGCGCGTCGTCGCCGCCGCCTGTTGTACCTCTTGTACCTCCTCCTCATCGTCCTGTCTGCCCTCGCTACTTCGCTACCTCGCTTTTCAGTTCCAGTTTCCAGTCAGTGCCAGTCGCTGCGGCGGAACCGGCAGCCCTTTACGGGGAGGACATGGTTCAGGAGCTCGCAGTCTCGCACCCAGGACCGCCAAGTGGTGATCGTTATTTCTCTCGCGAAGCAGAACAGTGCGGGTGTTTCTCGTGGTGTGACGCGTACGATATGTGTCGCAGGCTGTGAAAAAGGCTACCCGTTGCGTCACGCCCAGGTGAGAAGTGAGAACGGATCTGCATTTTATATATATGCGTTCCATCCTACTATATGTCTCTCCCCCCTCTCTCTCTCTCTCTCTTTTGTATTTAATCTCGTAAATTTGCAGGAAACTCTTGCTCTTGTGTCTATAGAATTTTTTATTGTATTTAATTTTCTAAGATATACATACTGTACGATTGTGCGTGTGTGTATAGTTAAAGGGACTCTATCAGAATAAGATAAAAATTGATTGGTCGACTTTTCGGTCGCTCTCTGCCTACGTGCTACCATATTTACAATATTTACATTGCGCATTCAATATGCTAAGGGCAAGGGTGAATGAGTTTTTGGAATGGTGAATGGAAAGCGTTCCATTTGCTTTCCGTTGCATATTTTTATTTATCAAGAAAGATCTGCAAAATCAAGAGATTTAAGAGATTATAAAATGATCGCGCATATTATTGAACTGACGTTTTGCTTCCGTAATACCACAATATATTTGAGAATAATAATCTGGGAGAGAATTAAAATCGGATGATATAGTCGCACCCAGGTTTCTTAAGAGGATGTTGATTCGTCTCTGCGAAGATATCCAGGGTGAACGTACATCATAGTTATAAGATGTTCTGTGATTAAATATTCGACTGATTGCGAGACATATATAAGCCCAAGTCTAAATAATCGCGGAAGAAAGACGTGGTTTAAAGTAAGCAGATATATCAGCTAAGAACCGATCGAGGTGTCTAGGACGAAAATCTAAAGATGAAAATAGTCAGCGATATAAAATATTGGCAATTTCTACCTTTAATGATTTTTCTATTTTTCTTTGTCTTTTTTCCTTTTCTTTTCCTTTTCTTCTAAAACTAAAAGTAACTCAAGTTCGTACCACTTCTAATTGTAATCGAGTCATTGAAAGTGTTGTGAATTATGCTGTGTGCGTGTGTTAGTTCTTGCTGGATTTACATTCGTCAATCGAGTGCGGGCACTGTACTCTAGGGCGATGCACTCATTGTCAGGAAGGTATACTTATACTAGCTCTAGAAACTGTTGCTAATAGAAACTAGTCCAAGTGTATTTTCGTATTAAATAATCAATTCGCGAAATAGAACCTTATACGTTACGACGCAATATTTATCACAAAAGCAATGGCAATAACTTTTTAATCTAAAGTTGAAAACTGTAACACAAAACTACTAAAAGAAAGAAATTAACTCATTGCTCACTGCGCAAAACAACGTATTATAAATGATAATGCAAATGATGTAACCGCGCGTTATGCGTTATGCGTTGTGTAGGGTAAGCATATTATTTACACGTTAAAATCGCTAAGATTATGGCGTTTGTATTATTTTTCTACGAATACGCGAGAAGCGTAGGGTAATCCGATCCGATCCGAAGGTTAAATAGGGTAAATAGAAATTATAGACACGCGAAAGTGGGTAGTGTGACATAAAGCGAATTCACAATTGTAGGAACATCTATGGGCCGTAAACGGTGGTGGCAAGGAGGCTTGGTGGAGCTGCTGGTGCTCTGTATCCTCCATTACACCGTCGTTCTGGCCATCGCTGACGGCGATGTCGGTGAGTACGATTGAATATTATTATCCTGCGAGTGCGAAAATAATGGCGTTTATGTTTCTGATTGTGCGAGAATATACTCAATTCTCGACGCGAATACTTAATAATTAGTCAAGTTACGCGATAATTAATTACTCTTTATGCGACGCGAATATATTACAAGATACAGAAGGAATGAGAAATATATTATTGTTGTGTTATAAAGATGTGTCTTTCGATCAATAACGAGAGGTCTGTTTCTTTTTATAAAATATGTAAATCGCTCCGTTTCTATTTAAAAAAGTTATAATTTGCAATTGACAAACATTTTAATTTCAAGCTGCAATGGTTAATAATTGCCGGCGGTTGCCGGCTATATACTTCCTAATAAATCTCTTTTCAAGATTGTGAAAATGCTTCGCCTCTCTTTGCAATTAATAAACGGATGAACTTTAAAGTCTCTCCTTAGAGTCGATAAGCGTGATTTTTAAAAAGACAGGAAATATATAACGTTTCACACGTTGAAAGCGTTCCACTCGATATGTTACATGAAGCAGTAAATGCGACAATATGAAACAAAGGATGAGGAATATATTACGGAGTAGATGTAACAGCACGCTGAGAAAATGTGATATAAATCTACGAATCAACAAAGCTAATGAAATGACTTTCAACTCTGCTACTATTTTAAATGATACAATATAACTGCTTAATATACCAAAGTAAATTTAGTAACAAAATTTCATGACTTTTTTATCTGCTTTTTGAAATAAAATAATAAATCTCTTCAAATTTTCAAGTTTCTTTAAATATATGTACATATATACTCTGTAGCTTGAGATTTTCAAACTTTCTAAATCTAAAATAAATTAAAAATATGAATTTTCAATTTTAAAATATATTTTTTATGTAGCTTTGATCATCAATAACTTAAAATAAATTAATATTTAGAATATTTTTTAAATATAAGAAAATTTACTTAATTTTTATTATTCAATCTTTACTCAATCGATATTTTCGACGATGCTTGAGACGATATTGACATTGAAGTATTAACATCGATCGCATGATACGCCCCAATGTGGTTGACGCCCTATTAACTTAACGCGTGACATTATACTTCTGTAAGTATCATGCTGTTTCGCCACATTTATAAAAAGTGCACTTATTGATTAAGAGTACGTCGGAAGAAATATAAGAAGAAGCGAGTAAAGTAGCGCTCTACTAGTAGCCACGAAAAAGATATTCATTCATATTTATTTACGCTTATTCATTTACATTCATTTTTAAGAATAGTCCTATGTCCTATGATGATGAATGTGGAAAATACACGTATAAAAGTGTTACTATATGTATAAATAATAAATAATAAAAGAAAATTTTAATTAATTAAGTGATGTGGATAATGGAACGGATTCGGTTATATCAAAGTTTTAGTCAACTAATCTTAGTTTTTTTGTATATGTGTGGTGTGCATAAAAAAGCTCGAACAAACATTTCTAACTCGTAATATCCACCAGCTGTTGACGTCAACGGTGAGCTTTCGCGATACTATTATTCCCAGCGCACTTTTAGAAGAAGCCGAGATTAAGGTCGTCGATCTTCATTGATTTCCCCGTTATCATTCTTAGGATACTCCTCATGTACGTGGCTTATATAAATTCACTCGCCGCTTTCGTAATCCATTGCAAAGCCTATATAAAGTTTTCCATGCTTGGCAGGATTATTGAGAAACTTTACATTATAAAAATGTGCACCGCGTCAATAGTATCGTTACCGTTTCTTTTAATTGCGATAACGATATAACGTATTAATGAAGTAACTGAGAGAAAAATAATATTGTTTTATTATAACTGTAAAGTGTGAAGAATTTTAAATAATTGTAAGGAAAATTTTGTCAAACCGAAATCGATTCCAAATTGAGATAAATGGACTCTAAAAACTAGCAAGAGAAAAATACAAATTAACACCAATCACATATGCGATAATGCGAGAATAAATTGTTAAAGGTATAAAAGAATTTCTATTTAGCTTTTGGAATATTTCGATTCTTTTATGTGTAAATTCTTTTTAGTCTACTAAATAGATTCTGGAAAAACAACTAAATTAATATGCTAGGGATAATCTAACATTAAATAGATTTCGACAAATAAAGTGAATTAATATGCTAAAGGAAAATCTCAGACGTGATAACATTAAATAAAAAATTTATATACATACATACATACATATATATCAAAAAGCTCTTTTTCCAGTTTCTTAATTTTCCAATAATTTCCAAAATCTCTGTCTCACAATCTTAAATTTTTAGTTAAGAAAATCCGATCTGTAAATAACAGCTAGTACATATTAGATTAAGAATGTAAAAATTTCAAAGATAATTATGCGAATTGTCGTCATCATTGACGCTCTTTAAATTCGGCAATATTTTATCGTTACATACGCGCGCTCACGCACGTATACAGAGAGAGAAAGAGAGAGAGAGATAAAGCGAGAGAATAGGAGAGAAAAGAAGGGAGGTGTTCGATTTTCGCCCACGACAGCAACTCGACAGTTATCGAACCGTTCATCCCACGCAGCCACCGCCTTCGTGGGCTTCGAGATCTCTCTATCGTATACGCGCGTAATGCCGCTACACTCGATCTCTCAGATCTATCGCGTAACCCTTCGCTTATCTTTTATATATTTTGTGCTCCTTCCTCTCCCCCTTTCACTCCGTTTTGTTCACTTTGCGACACCAGGCAATTCTTTCGTCGCTATTACCAAAGTGCATATGTCCATCGCACAAGTGCATTTCAATATGCATTGATTTTGCCTTTTAATTATCTCTTCGACCGAGAACCCTGTCGACCATCTCCATATATATATTTGATCTTGGCATTTTTCCGAAGATACTTTTTTTGCATTCATTCATTGAAAAAAATATATATATTATATTATGCGAATATTATATATTTAATATTTGATATGTAATAGATATAATGTGTGAAATGATGATCTTTACACTTATATATAATACTAGATATTTATGTGGGTTGTAATTATTTCAATTACAGTTAATCTTACTTATGATTTGTGAAAAACAGGTGGTCTTTCCGCAGCAAATACTGTATGATAAATAAGTACTATATGATATTATAGTAAATTGAATTGTACAATTCAAATATGTATTCTTGCAAACGGTTATGAAAAAATTATAGATTTTTTCTGCAAGTCACTAAACGTTTCAAATATTGTTTAACTCTTACTCTCTTCTAACACATTTTGCTTCTGCATCATATATATATAGATATGCTTATGCATTATGTCTCATTTTATTCCATTCTTTAATCGTTTAGGTTTTTATGCTTTATATTCAAGAAATTTATTTCCTCCTATCAATAATTACCTAAATAAATATATGAATAATATTTTTATTCTTTTTCCAGTATTTCTAGTATTTCAGTATTACCTTCTTTCTTCTTATTCCAGATATACTTTCAGATGCTTTATTTAAAGTTTTCTATAGAAACATCCCCCGTAAGCTAGCATAATAGACATATCAAGAAGACGAGTGCTTAAATGTATACTCCATATTTTTGTGTAATTATAATCATATTAAATCGCACGACCATACACAATCATCTCGCCTTTTAATCGCTTTCGCATTTTGTCGGACGTCAAGCCAATATAATCAAACACATTCTCATTCTCACAAGGAATTCGATAGTAAATCACGTAATAAGAATATAATAATATCTACAAGACAAATAATTTAGTTTTGAAGGGTTTTGAAGGGTTTTGAATAATTCAATACATGAATTCACAAGAATAACAATCGGAATTGACTGTGATTGAGAAGTTATTAAATATTGTAAAGAACTGATTAAAACTCGTAACAAAAGCTCCGACTTTCGAGTCTCTTCCTTTTTTTCTTTCAAAGTTATCTTATAAGGAATGTTAAGTTATTATATCTATATAAGTTTTTAGGAAAACGCGCATGATGAATAGAGATGAATAGGGATGCAAATACATGCGCTTTATTTTGTACAGTGATGATACGAATATATGTATAAGTCACTCATCCGTTCAGAATTATCCGTGATGTTAAACGCAAAGCTATTTCAGGAAATTTGTGTGGCAATTAAATTTAGTCTGTCTCGGACATTTTCAGCGCGCCGCGGAATATTTATTCCGTGTTTTACAAGCCGCAATATGACGCGCGGCAAGTCGGTTGATTGTTTCACAAGCAAACGCCTTCGTTGCACATTTGTGTCAAAATATTTACGCAATTCAATAGAATACATGCTTGAATCTGCATTTGACGCGAATACTTGGAATTGTATGTATGTATGTACATACGACAAAGCTAATTAATTATTACAGTTTGGAAGCACACACGAACACATACACATCCTCGATATCTAATTCAATGTCTCTCTCATATACATATAAAGAGTTTCTCTTAGCTCTTGGCATAATTGTTCTGTTTTCAGGATGTCTATTCAGCGAGGATATATGCGATCCCCAGACGGAAAAATGTTTTGACGGTAATAATTTTGCATAATCTACTTTAATTAATAGTCCTTGATCCTCTTTCATCTTATTACATATATAACGAGAAACTAGAGGCAAATAAAATATTATAAAAGTAGCTTTTCGCATTATTAAGTTTAATCGACGTTAATTAGTTGTATTAATTAATAACAAAGCTGCAATGCATTATTAGCAGAATTCAATAGTAACTTTTTATACATACATCTGTATCATTAACATCATTTTTTCAGATCTGGCATTCGGAAAATGTATACCTCGGTACATGAATTTAGAGAGTGACGATTTATATCGGTAAGTTAATGATAATAAAAATCGTATCCTTAAAACTGAGATATATATTTATGGCATCCATGAATTATTCGCGCTGAAATGTCTACATCTCAAATGTCAACTGTTGTGTAGATATATATGTATATATGAACCAAGCGGAATTGAATCCTCTTTCCGATCAGTTTATTTTATCGCCGGGTCGTCAAACAGTCCCGCTACTTTATCGTCTTTATCGCCTTATTTATTATCGTACACCTACGTAACATTTTAGCGCGATCGACACATAAAGTGTGGCATAATCAATGCGCGTTATTGCGGTGTAATACAACTCTATTCTCTATATCGCGCAGATATAATCTTGATATCGGCGAATTGGAGCTGCTACAATCGGTGAGACTGCAATTGATGAGACTGGAATCCGACGGATACAAGTGGAAACATCCCTTTACACAATGTATTGTGCAAACCTTGTTGCATAATCTCCGATACGGGTACATCGCTTTGTTAGAACTTGTAGTTATAAGTCATAACAAACTGAAATTTGCCAATGGAGATTTGTATATAAACCAATACAACAATTTTTCAAAATTTTAACGTATAGACTTTAGAGACGTCTTCTTTTCTCTTTTTCTCATCATGTAAAGTTTTTACACAGTCAGTAAAAGATATTGTGTGCTACTGTGTGCGCTTACCAATAAATCATTTCTTCAAATCAAATTCTTAAAGAAAGAACGATCAAAAAAGGATTTTAAGTATATATTATAGAAATAGAATAGACATTTTTATGCCGATAAATACTATTGTCCCATGGTAGGATAAAAACACTATCCTTTGTATCTGATATGATAAAATTAACGGAGAATAGTTTATAAATTCGCAAAATTTCGGAAAATTATATATGTGTGCATCAGCCAATATTGAGTATTTCATAAAACGGAACTTGGAAACATTTTTCAGACAAAACAATTTTCGTGATTTTCATCTCTGCGAGTATTTGAAGAAACCACGTTTCGATGAACAAGGTGGACTTATTGACGAGGTTGGTATAAATTGTAATTTAACGGATATCGAGAGATTTTTTTCCTGGTAACGTCATCGTTTGCAATTATTTGTTGAAAATACGGAACTGTTGCAATATTACTCCATAGTAATGAACCATTATCGATTTTTTTTCAGATAGTTCCAGCGGTCGCCATACTAAGGATATCTGCGGATAATGAAAATCCTGAGAGTAATTTGGCCGATGTTCTATATCGTCCCACAGACATCGAAGACAAGTAGGTCTCGCTTATCTCGCTTAAAAAGAGATCGATAAAAAATGACACAAGTACATTCAAAGTTTATGTATTAACGTAAGTTATAACTAACATTACAATTAAATCCGGATTTTTGGTTTTATAAAAAGAGTTTTAAGTAATCATTTCATTAATTTTATATTTTACTTTGCTATTTGAAAATACAACCAAAAACTTAAATAAAAAATTAAGGAAGACATGAATTATTGCATATATAATTGCTGAAAATCAACTTATATGTGTATTAAAATGCAATAAAAATAGAATAAAGCAGCTGGAGAACATACTTATCAAATATATCAAACAAGAAACATAATATTAATAAAAAATACAATTTAATATTTCTTTATTTAATTCTTCTAAACTTTTTAAACATATTGATTTTCTGTGGCGAACAATCATTATTGCCGTACAATCAGAAACTTATGAAATTTGTTTACAGATCTGAATACACGAAATGGCGTAGTGGCGAGAATGATCGGACTTCGGTCAACGATGAGAAATACGACAACGTGTACGGAAAATCACTGAACGATGTGCGCGAACAATTTTATCCGCCCAGAACACGTCGGTTCAGCTTCATCGACGATTATAAAAATGATGTTACCGAGTCATTCGAGGATACTTTGAGAGACGAGGCACTGTCATCCGAGGATGACTATGAGAATACTTATGACACACAACTTTTATCCGCCGACGATCTTGAATTCTTACAGAACGAAAAGTCGCCAGATTACACATTGTTGAAGCCCTCTTCCAACGACGAGACAAATGAGAGGGAATACGAGAGAGTGTTCTCTAGGAAGTATAAGCATCGAAAGAAACCACTGCATCTCAAGTTTTCCGATGCCGATGCGAAAAGGACGGCGATCAGACGCGACGAGGATCTCGATATTGAGAATAGCGAAATTGATGAAGAGAACTCGGCAGAGATCGAGAGACCTGACGGGGATGTTTCTTCGAAAATACGCGGGATGTATACCGAGGGAGGCATTGTGCGACCTACGAAATATAAAATTACATCCGATGCAAGTGGTAAGTTTACACTTGAATAGATTGCTTAAATATATCTTAAATTGAAATGCATCTGACGCAGGAACTGTGCACGATGAGATGTATGACGATGATTTGGATGCGCTTTTATGGAGACGAGAGTTGGCTGGTTTTAAGCGCAGGGAACGCTTAGACGTTAAAAAGCCTGGACCGCCGTTTTCGACGAATAATTACGCATTCAAAACTCAATCTCCGGCTGGTAAGTAAAGCATACGTTTCTAACTAGATCTGCGTTTGATTTATAATTTACGACCAGTTTTCCTATCATTTCGAAATGATTCTCATTAATATCTCAAAGATGCAATTCACAAAACTGTCACTTTGTTTCATTTCGATTTATAGTGTTTACGTTTTTGCAGCTATCCTTGACAAAGAGTATTCCGAGACGGATAATCAGGACGTAAGTATAATCGAGCTCATATTTTGCCTATTGCGACTATACCTAGATGGTAGACATTACAACAATGTCGTATTATAGAATAACGAAGTATATGCACCATTGACTAAGAAGGAATTACCCGGTGATACATACAAAACGAGCGATGATCGGTCAGAAACTTATAAAAATGTCGATTTAGATTACGTCTATATCGTGTTTGAGCAGGAGTTTCATACATGGGTTGAAGGAGAACACGTGGTTACTAAGGTAGAATAGAATAGAACAATAATTTGAAATATTCAAGGAAGACATTAATTCTAAGTAGCATTTTGAATAAACTTTTAAACGTAAACTTTCAGGTTGAAGAACTCCTGGGATTGCCTACTGGAACATTAAGAGATATACGAGTGGGCCGCGCGGAAGTAACGTTTAAAGTTGTTCAAAATGACAAAAATTACAATGCGACTGACGTTGCTAACAGTATCGGTATAATAATTTACAAATTACTTGTTTTATATGAATATGAGCTCTAATAAAAATATAAATATTACGTAAGATGCGAGATAAAAAATTTCGTTTGCAAAAATAAAATATCTTTTATTTTAGATAATATACGTGGTAAATTACAAAATGAGCTAGGAATTGAAGTTATTCGAGCGGGTATAGGTAATAAGGTACTATAATAAATATATATATCTTATATCACTAAATGAACAGATTAAGTAATTGTCAAATAAACATAATATTACCTTAATGTTATCTACCAATGTTGTCAATAAAAGTGCATGTTTTTACAGGTTAAATTACCAGCTACTCTGGAAGTAGCCAGAGAAAGCGAGATGAGTTCTAGTTTTTTCGGTGCATTGGTAGCTGCTGGAGTTGCGGCTGCGATCGCAGCCGCAGTAGTCACGCTGATAATTGCGCGTCGCCACGCCAAATGTCGAGCAAAGCTTGCCGGGCTGGCCACTCCGGATCCAGAAGCATCCAAGGATTATCAGGATTTATGCAGAGCGAGAATGCAGGCGAAACAGCCGAGCGAAAAGTTAGAGTCGCCGCGTATCACCAGTTTGTCACGCGAAAACGAATCCAGTAATCTGCCTTCCAATCGCTCCAGCACATCCTCCTGGGGCGAGGAACCTACTCTCTCCAACATGGACATATCGACCGGTCATATGGTTCTCGTAAGCACAATATAAAAAGGGAGAAAAAGAGAATAAAAAACCATTTTGAATTAAAAAAAAAAATTTAAATATATGTCTCGGAATTTTCGTTGCACTTGATCAATTTGACGAGGCGCTGTAGTGCTACTTCTCATTCCGTATCATACTCATATTTGCAGAGTTATATGGAGGATCACCTGAAAAACAAGGATCGTCTGGATCAAGAATGGGCGGCATTATGTGCTTATGAAGCCGAACCATCGTCTACGGAGATCGCAGAGAGCGAGTCGAACATCAAACAGAATCGTCCCAGCGCGGCACTTCCCTACGATCACTCTCGAGTAGTTCTGAACGATCTTGCAAACGCCAATAATTCCGACTACATAAATGCTTCCACGATCGTAAGTACCTCAATGATATATATATATATATATACACATCTTGTTTCATCAATCCTTTAATGAATTCTCCTGAAGCCTGAACATTCTTTTTCAAAACTAGATATGTTTTATAATTATGATATATTTTATATCTAGTCGTATCCAAAGTAATTCGCAGAACACCGGTAAATAATAAGAAGATTATCGCTCTCTCTCTTTCATGCGTATTGTGAACTCATAAGGATATGTATGGTATATTACATGTCGGGACTTAAGTGCATAATGTTGTGTAAACAAACTAGGATTCAGGAGGATATCATGCTTCAATACGCGAGAAATTCAATATACATGATATAAAAAATAGAAAATTTTCTGATTATTCCATGCAACAGTTGCAAGGTAACTTGTGTAAAAATAAAATAAATATTTTCGTTTTCACGATAACGTTGCTGAAATACGTACGACATTCGGTTTTCCGGCTGCCACACCGCAATGTATACATATAGAAGTCGGTAAGTTTCATAGTTGACCGGCATGTCAAGTTGATCGTTTAAAAATCACAAAATCGTTTCTCGGCGCAATTTGTAAGGCTGACGCTTGCGGTAGATATCTCTCTTTTTTAATGCATCGTAATCGTAACATAAGCGGACGAACTGGCATGTTTATCGAGCAAGAGCTTTATATTTTTTAACTGCACAATTGACAACGTGTCAATCACCGAATTATGTTTAATCCATATATCCGCGTCATAAATGAGAAAAATTCCGAAGAAAAAAGCAAAACTATAGCGATAACAGGAATTTAATGGGATCCATTGTTCGACGCACGATTGAAAATTCCCAGGGTTTAAAGTGATCCCGTTTTAAATTAATAGAAAAAGATAAGACATGGTTTTTTTTACAGGTATTAAATATGATCTGAATCGATTAAGTTGATCGAAATTTTCCTCTTTTTTCTCTTTTTTTTCTTAAATAAGAGCCACGAAGGAAACAACAAACGACTTTTTTTGTTTAATCTTATTTATTATTTACAATGAGGGAGCGTTTATCGAATGTTCATCGAAGCCGTAGCCGTAATATCGTTTGTTCATTGCAGACGGATCACGACCCTCGGAATCCGGCTTACATAGCTACACAAGGGCCATTACCGCAGACCACGGCTGATTTCTGGCAGTTGGTTTGGGAACAAGGCAGCGTGGTGATTGTAATGCTGACACGACTTACCGAGGAAGGCCGTGCCATGTGCCATCGTTACTGGCCCGAGGAAGGATCGGAGCTCTATCATATCTACGAGGTACATCTGGTGTCGGAACACTTTTGGTGTGACGATTACCTAGTGCGCTCCTTCTATCTGAAAAATCTGCGCACTTGTGAGACTCGTACTGTCACGCAATTCCACTTCCTCTCCTGGCCGGAGAACAGCGTCCCGTATTCCACAAAGGCTCTGCTCGAGTTCCGTAGGTTCGTGCCGATTTAACTATTTACTAGTATTTTATAAAGACACGCACACATAAAGTGCGTCACTTTTATCGTTACAATATACGTAATTCATTACGTATATTCTATATATAGTATTCTCTCTATATTATTATACATAAATTGTTATATTTATATACTATCAACAGATTGTTATCTATACGATAGCGTTCAAAAGATTTAATTGAGAATACTACGTTTTGCATATAGTTATTTATATATTATTAAGAGTCCAAGATAAGAATTATACGTATTATATATATCTTACATTGAACATTGTTCAAAAATAACTTTTCAAGTTATTTCGATTTTGTCTCTTTCTAGGAAAGTTAATAAATCGTATCGTGGTAGGTCATGTCCGATAGTAGTGCACTGCAGGTAAGTATATATTTTTATATTATCCAATATAGGTGTATCGGTGTATTCTCATATTTGATCGTCTCACAGCGATGGAGCTGGGCGAACCGGTACTTACTGCTTGATCGACATGGTCCTAAATCGTATGACGAAGGGAGCGAAGGAAATCGACATCGCCGCTACTCTGGAGCATATTAGAGATCAAAGGCCCAATATGGTTGCTACGAAACAACAGTTTGAGTTCGTCCTAATGGCAGTGGCGGAAGAGGTACATGCGATTCTCAAGGCTTTACCCGTATCAAGTGAGAAATCTGTTACGGCTACCGGTTCTTCGCCACCCACGAAAACGGAGCAGTAAAGCTGAAGCTGCGACGCAAATTTAATCCTAAACGGTATAAAATAGGCACCTGATAAAAACACCTTTTTAATTCTAATAGATTTAAGAAAGAATTATTTCTTCATGTTTGTTTACAAGTTTTATGAAAAAATTCAGAAAATTTAATAATTTTCTTAAGTGATTTTTGAAACTCTGTTCTTCATGATTTCAGTATCGTTGTTGTGATGTTTGAAAAATCTGATTGTATAATGTGTTTGTCAGCTATTTTATACTCTTCAGGATTAAAATAATCATAATCGAGACGCGAACGAGAGTAAAAGGTATATATTCTATTGATTTCGATGTGTCATGAAAAAGCTAAATACTTTTACTAGCTGTTTACTACGATGTATCCTACTGGAGTAAAGAGTGAATCAATCGGTTATTTCGTTGAAATTTTCTACACGCTCAGTATTTCCCGATTGACGCACCTTCGCGTAATTGGTTTTAGAGTGCACCAATCGTCGCGAGCTTCTTTTTTCGTATTCTGATTCTGATTGTATTTCCCCAAAATGCGAAAAGAAAGATAGTCGATTTAAATTCCTACGATGAAAAATATGTAATCATATATAGTCAGAGAAACGTACTAATTTAAATACAGTTTTAATTTAAGTACAATGTGTAAAGAGAAGGAAAGTAAGCGATGTACTTGTATAGGTATGTTAAGACAGCTTCAAGTATAATGAATTTATGAATTTTAATATTTTTTTTATCGCTATGTCGTCAGATGGTACTGTTTTATTACATCGACTAATCGCATAATGTCTCTTTTCGCTCATTCAAACGCGGCCTATTTCAAAGGTCAAGTACCTGTAGACAACAAACAGACAGACGGACACGATTAGGTGTTACTCGAGGCATATGTATCAACAACTGAACGATTATTATACTGTGCGATCGATCGGTGAAACGACGGAACATTTTATACTAGTAGAGTCTAACTAGCACCTCGATTTCTTATCATTAAACGCGGCCGTTTGAGATCGGAGTTTTTATTTGTTTCATATAAAGATTATATTCAGTATTAATGGACTGACGATCAGACTGGCTGCGTTTAACACTAATTATGCGTTGTGAATACGGGCCGGGATTTTTATTGTTTGCCGTGGACAAAATATATTGTTTTTTTGTAGATGAAAAAGTTTATGGAATATTTATATATAAAATCACATCGCGCTGTCGGAAATTGTATCGGATTTTAATACTTTATTAAAATTGTATATATCATACACTGGCTCAATCTAATCATAATTATTTAAATTTATTTATAATGTGAAACACATTTGCGAAAAACGGGACATTCCTGTTATATTGTAAAACATTTTGCAAAAAGACAAGATTATCTAACGTGTACATAATTTGTGTACACTGATTGAATTACATTAATTCCTACGTGCCCTTCGATTAACGTGCTTTAAAATAGCTTTAAAGGAATGGGTGAATTTTTCGATCTCGAATTCATATTTCGAATTTATTAAATTAAATAATATACAGCGTAAACCAATCAGCTAAGTCAATTGCATGATAACTAAAGTACGTATATGACCATTTACAGTTTTGCATGGAACATCTACTTCCTAACTTTATTTCCTTCATAAAAAATTCTTAATATGTTGTATTTTTATTTTATAAACGAGTTGAATTATTCGTGAAAGTATCACACAAATATGAGATTTTATTATACTACAATATCGGGAATATATTTCAAGTACGCGATTGATCGATCGGACAGCCACAAACCATTATATCAATTCGCAAAAAAAAAAGAAGACAAAAAACTGCGTATATTTATGCTATGAAATGATCTAGTCAATAGTTAATAAACGTTTTATTTTCCAGTATTGCTATAAGAGAGTTGGTAATGTAACTTGATGTTTTACACTACAGTATTCTGTGTGCGTGCGATCGTTTTGCTGGGAAAAATATAGCTTGATGAACGTGATGTTAAATGATGCAGATTACATACGTAAATGTAAGCGCTGATAGGAATATTATATTACTATTTTATTACCGTTTGGCGATTAAATTCACATCAAAACTTTTGACAATATAAGTTTACTAGTATTATTTTTTGTGCTAAAAAATGTATTCTATACATATCTGTAACATCTATTTCATTTATCGAGAAATATGAATTTTTAGAAATGAAAATTAAGAAAGGAATGTAACAGCATTTTTTAATTAAATATATTTTTGGAAGCAATGTCAAAATTGACACTAACAAAGGGACAACAAACTCTTGACCCCTCGAATTTTATCAAATTTTTAATATGTTACAGTACACTCCATTCATTAATACAAGGTACAGTAACTCTGTATAATGGGCAATAGTTTATGAAATAATTCATGTTTAAATTTTTCACGTATGAAATTGTTTTAAAAATCTGCAAAATAAAGTTCATTTATGTATTATAAATAAAAAAAATAGAATTATAATGATATTCCAAAAAAGTACATACAATTAACAAAAATACAGTAAATGACAGTTAATCTTCGGTGTCAAAAACTTTCAATTTGCCCATCATCAATATTATAGTCATAATGAGTACACGTTTTTGAATGGTATCTATCATAAAAACATTTAAAACGTTACTAATTTGCGGCAAGCGTCTTTTATTAATGCAACTTCTTCGCATAAGCATAATTTATCATTGATATAAAAAAAATTTAACATTAATATTTTAAAAACTATTGCGCATTGGACAGAGTTTACTGTACTTTGTATTAGATAAATAAAGTGTACTGTAACATATTAAAAATTTAGCAAAATTCAAAAGTTCAAGGGTTGGTTATCCCCTTATAAGTGAAATTGGTGATAGATTTAAGAATTAATGTTTCACGAGCCTATATAATTAATTGTTTCACAGCCTTGCGTGATGAAAATATTATTTTAGAGGGGATTTTGAAAAGCAGGAACACTAATGTACCTTGAAACTGTGTCAAACTTTGCTTGATCACTGCAACTGAGTTTGATTAGCCTTCTTTAGCACCGACTGACTCACAAAATAAATTCTATATTTTTATGTAAAGGGATGACTATATATATATAAATATATATACATATATATATATATATATATATATATATATATATAAATGATATAATTATATATAAATCTATACTATGTTACCCAATATATATAATACTATATATATATGTTGTAAAATAATAAATCGATCTATGTTCAAGCCATGAACACGCTTATATTTCCTTTCATTCATATTTTAACATATACATTATATTTAATTGTAAACATTTTAAACGTTTAATACTTATTTTTATCCTAACATCTTTATTTAGAGAAATGGAACACTGTTATATTTATCAACTAATAATACTTAAAATATGTGATTATTGCGCGCAAATATGAAGTATACATGAAATTCTATTTTGGAATCCAATTATTTTCTTACTCGAATGATACTTGAGCAGAATGAAAATTATCGTAACGGACAGAATCAATTTAGAATGAGAAAGTACCAAAGTGTATTGTAACACGTTACAATTATATTATACAATTAATAATTGAGTGCCCCTTCCTTCCGAGAGCGTTCGAATTCCACCGAAATGATCCTCAATCTGAGCTTCTTCTCCCGTCAGATTCAAAGACGCGTCAAAATACAAAATCTTACCGTCCTTCCCGTCTCCCGTAATAATGTTGCCATTTTTTAGAACATATATAGAGAAAATCGATCCTTCGTGGAGAACGGAGATTCCTCACTAGCCTTGAAATTGTGTTAGTACCTCGAGCCCAAACGATGATGTTGCCGTTGCTGTCGCCGGTGAGGACGTCGCCGTTTTGATTGAAGGCAACACAGCTGACGTACCTGGGCTTATCTCTGCTCTCGAAGATGCCCATACGTTTATACAACATGCCGCCGTTATCCAAGGACCAAAAGGACACGTGTCCTTTTCCATAGGAGACGATCTGGTTACGTTCCAGCGGATGCCACTCGGTGCAAACTACCGACAGAGCATTTCGTTTCGGTCACTTTGGTGCCACGATCGCTCTTCTGCCAGTCCCAGATCGATATATTGTGATCAAAGGTCTCGGCGCACAAAAAATTGCCGATCACGCTGAGAGTCGTCAGGCTCACGGAGTTCCATATTCTTATGTGTGGCAATAGCATCCCGACGATCTGTCCCGCACACTTGTCCTGTGGCGACAACCAATTTGTTAGGATGAATCGCTATGCATTTGACATTGTCCGTGTATGACCTAGGTAATGTTTCTGGCCGTGCTTCTCCATGTTGTACAGAACAACGACTGCCGCGACAAAATATACGATCTCGCCGGTCGACAGCAGGTGTAAATTGCTGCGGCAATCGCGGCCGCGGTAACCGTAAACCCAGTCGAGCTTCAATTTGCTCTGCGGCGGCGTGCTAACTTTGTGAAGGTCGTAGGACTCCATAATATCTCTATAGTGTCGCATTGAAGCCTTGAGAATCAGATTCAAATGATGGAATATTTTAACCTTTAATTTTGTCGATAAGTAGAAGACAATGTCTCAGGAAACTCCGGATTCCAAAAACCTTTAAAAAGATTATATTTTATTATATAACATAAAAAAAACAATGATAAAAATAAAATATTATACATACCTTCTGGTGTATTTGGTCGCTCGTATTTATATCGATGTCGCGAGCATTGATTCCTCCGTTTTTCTAATTCTTCTTTCGGTAGTGACAAACTCTTATAATACTGAAAAAAAATATTTTGAATTACTTTTTAATGAAAAAAAAATTTATATACAATATTCATATTTCATGTAACTATTTTATGTAACTATTAATATTGTATATTACTTCTCTGCATTCCCAGCAATCCCAGCCATTTAATTTCGCTCTGTCAGCTTTACATCGCATGTTAAGCTCCTCTGAAACGTCTGCCTTTCTTTTTGACAATCTGTAAACAATATTTTCATTAAATATATATTATATAAAAGTAACTTACATTACTACAATTATTAAGCGATATTTACATCTTTTTTTCAGGTGGTTTGTTTTCTGTATCATCCAAATTGAAATTATCCATGTCATTTTGATTTGCAGTTTGTTCTGCAGGCAGATAAAAAGTTTCGTCTTCGCAGGCAAAATTATTTTGAGCTTCAATAGATTTTTTAATTTGTATATCAGTTTTGTTACGCATCCTTATTGAAGAAAGATAACTTGTGTTAACTTTATCTTTCAACGTATTAACTGCAGTATTCATCAAGGATTCATCATCTTCCATTTGCGTACAAGTACGTTTAGGCGAAGGACGTAACCCGAAATCTATATCTATTATCTCTGGACTAGCACTAGGACCAGGACATTTATGTTTACTTGGAGAATTTTTTTTCATATGTTTTATAGGAATTTTTCTCTTGAGTTTTAAACATCGTCTGACTTTGGATGTAACATTCCTTTGCGTAGGACTGACTTCTATCACATCTTCGGAATTTTCACTAGTGTTGTTTATAGCACCGATTTCAATAACTGTTGCATTTGTAGTAGCATGTGTTGTAGAAACATCTTGGATAAACTTATGTTCCACATTACGCGGTATATCAGCTGCCTTACGTTTGTCTACAGTTGAGGATATCTTTTCAGTACTCTTGACTGGATGAAATGCAAGTCGAGATTGTTTTAACCTTTTTCCATTTGGCAAAAATGTGGTTTCCACATGGTGTGCTGTACTAATTTCTAATTTGTTGTAATTATGCTTTGAAGAAACGTTTTCAATGCTACGATGTGTCTTATTCATATCTGAGGTTGAGTCGTATACCGCTTTAGGTGAACGCACAAATTTCTTCGCAAAATTGTTACCCGCAGTCCTTAGAAATGTTCTGGAGAATACTGGACTTACTGGCGGATTGTTTTCGTCGGTATTTTTGTGAGATTCACTTACATCTGACGAACCAGTTCCCGCATCGTAATTAAAATGAATAAGATCTGAATTTACCGTATCTAATTCCAGTAATGGGACACTGCTGCTAGTGCTACTTTCTTGCACATTGGCGTTATTCAAATGTTCGGATATTGCTTCATCCAATGTTTCCACACAAGGTGTCTTAACCGTCATTTGAGATGAAGAATGCCTATGAAATCATATACATATTCATTATTGATAGAATATGTTTAGAATTTATGTCGTTAAATTGTGTTAGGTTAAAATAAGTTTAGTTTTAACTTATAATCTGAATTATAAAAATACGCATGACATAAATATAAGTACATAATGTTTGTAAACTTACCCATTACACTGTCCACATTTTTCCTGCAATTTTATGTAATCTTCCCATAAATCTGTGAAACAAAAAATTGTATCGATTGTATAAATCACTTATATCAGCTATGTATTGGATATTTAAACGCAATTAAAATGTTTTAAAGTTTCTCTAAAGTACATAGAAAATAACCATTTAAATATCTTACTAGTAGCGTTTTATGGCTTAATTTAGACAATTGTCCTTAACAGACGTCATAATGCACATGTTTATAAATAAATGGCACACGTTTATAAATTTTGATGCGCTTGCTAATGCTTATAATTCCTCTGTTAGTTCTAATACACTTGACCAACGGTCACTCAAATATTTATTAGTAGAATTTGTTACAAGAGCCTAAAGTCCGTATCAGACTTCCGATTCGAATAATATTATAAACTTCAATCTAATAAATCTAAAACGCGAGTGTCGCGAGTCGCGAGTTGCCCGAGCCAAGTCAGTCGACACGTGCGCACGTGCCGCACGTGCGTCGGCAGTCGAATCAGGGGACGGAGCCTTTGTTTTTGTCCTTTGCAGTCGGTAGTCTGACACGGGCTTAATTCAAATGATTGACTACAGATAGCAGCATGAATCAAATATTTTGGCGCCTTTCACGCTTAGTTTCTTCTGTTATTTCTAGAGGGCAGAAGTTTCTATATATAAAAGTTTTCCAAAGTATATAAAGATTTTATAACTTGAAATTTTATATATAAATTCTACAATTTCAAAAGTACCCAAGTTCATATAAAACGTAGAGACTAAATGTAGAAATTAAATACTATAATTGTTATTTTAAAAATATTTTAGCACTCCTATAATATTTAACAGAAAAAAAAATGTTGGGTATAGAGAGTTGATACAGTAATTATATAATATATACCTACTTTGATAATGTTTAAATGCTTTTTGCAAGATTCCAACGTAGCTCTCCATTGCTTTCCTCGCAGTTTCATTGTGCGTTAGAGTCGTTAGACAATTAAACTGCGGAATGAGTGACATTGTCGTTAATGGAGTACGCTTGTGTCGTTTCGGAGCAACACGTGTGTCGTATATAGCTGTCGTCCTGCTTCTTCGGCGAATGTCTGCTTAAATCTCGAAATACCGTAAGTGCATTAACACTGCCTATCTTGACGCGAACACGGTTTCTCTTCACTTCAGTCAGCTATACGAACTTTAATATTTACTTGTATGTATCGACGCGTTTCGACACATTCCCGGACCGCCATAACAGTTCACCCGTATATTGCCATATGTCGTATGTATGTACATATACTATACTATATACATAGATGACTGACCAGACTGACTGTGGTGATGACACACCAAGGCTCAGGACCGTCTGTTCGTGGTCGTGGGCACGATAAGTATCATAACAATCACAGACATGATTTTTAAATTTTACAAAGAGAAAAATAAAAATACGTTTAACAGCCAAAAAAGAGTTTCTCTATATAGCTCTGATCAATTAGAAAATAAAAATATAAAGCGTAGTAAAGTGCACAAATACATACATAGATATATGTTTCAATTGAAGAGAGATTCTTCCGTCGACATGTCTTTATTATATATTCTTAGCATATATGTACATTGTACACTGTAAATAGTTCGTAATAAATAAGCATTAGTATCTTATATAAAAAACCTTAAACAATAAATAAATATTCACATTTTTAGCGTTACTGTTGTTACACAAGTTTATCAACGTTCCCCTCATGGCATCGTCTAATATCTCTTGAAAATAAAATTCTTTCGTGAGATTAAAATAGAACGCAAACCTTTTTCAAGATCTCGCGTCGAGCATCGTGAACAAGTCTTTCTTTTCTTTCATCAAAATGAAAACAAGCATCGCCATCGGAGTCAAGCTCCTTTTTAAATTCAGCTTCCTACACTCGCAATATGTAATGTATGTATATATATATACACATGTGTATCACAGACCTTTCGTAATGATGCAGGAAAGAAACGTCAGAGAATACTTTTCAGCGTATGACTGCTCGAGAAATAACTTGGAAATAATCATATCAATAGTAATTTAGTGTATATTATGATAACTATAATACCATTGTCATTGGGAGAGAAGTCATATTCTAATTAAGTATCTGCAATGGTCGCATATCGTACAATTATACACTGTGAACGTGCACTTAAAACTAATGGAGTGATGATAATGGAGACTATAAACAAATCGATGATATGGTCGTACCATCTTTTTTCTCCCCCCTCTCTCTCTCTCTCTCACACACACACACACACAGATATACGCATCTTCTCTCTCTCTCTCTCTTTCTTTCTCCTCCTCCCTCCCCCTCTCTCCCATTAGTATAATTTGAAAAATAATGATTTATAGATTCTTTCTGATTTCACAGGCGCATGCACGCACGCACACACGCACACACACACACACACACACTCTCTCTCTCTCTCTCTCTCTCTCTCTCTCTCATGCATACAGAACACAGTCATGCACCACGACTTTGTAAAATCATTACGAACTAAAAGCAGATTGTTGCGAGGAAGTCGAGGGCAGGAAAAGGTTCTGCGCCAGGTGGGGCTGCCCGGGCGGTTTATTTGACGGCAGTCGACCGATAGCAGACGTAGAAATAGCGGGATTATAGATATTATCCAGACCATGATAGGATATGAGCGCCGATAGAGCGTTCCTAACACCAGCAGTTGCCAGCTGGGACCATCTCCCGTGAGAGCTCACGGCATCGTCGCCGGCATACACCGCGTGCGCGTCGAAATTACCTGGCATATGCGGCGCGCTCGTATCTGCGAAAAAAGTTACACGTCAATGACAATGGGTCTGTTTTCTGTTGCTGAACTGGCTGCACTAGTTCAGAGTTTATCTTTTTTCCTCCACATTTTCGAAGGAAAAAGATAAACTTTCAACTAGTGCACCCAGTTCAGCAATAGAAAACAGACCCAAAATCAATGCGAGTGATATAGTGCCGAAAACCACAAACCTAGATGAGTTGGATTCAATATCGGAAGATGAGGATCTAGTTGTCCGCCTGGTCGAGCATTCGCGACGAGGCGAAGCTCCGCGCGTAGATCACCCAACAATTGTACCACCTTGGGATCGCACTGTAAATATCATAAGATTGTAAATTGCTGTAAATATCGCTGTAAATGTTAACAACTAGAAGAAATTTTATTATATATTGTTGAAAAATATATTCCTTTCCTTGACAAATATAAAAATTAAATATTTACAATGTGAATTGTAAATGAAGCGATTGCCACAATTGATTAGCGAGCGAGATTAAATAACAGACAAATTGTCTAAAGAATCTCTTTACATAATCACCTCATTCTGGTCTGACCGCAATGAGAGAAGATCGTCGACTCGAATCGGTTTTCCCTGATTCAAGGCGTTTGTGAGGATCATCAATCTCCGGGCAAGATTATCCTCGGTACACATTTCCAACGGTTGATTATCTCCCTTTAGATTTGACTGCGGCTTAACGGGCGGTGAAGCGTTATAATAGTACGATGGCGTAGACACTATGTACGGACCGCTCTGATTAAACAAATTATCTTCACCGTAATGAGCTTCCGCCCCAAGCCTGCTTGGGTGTGAGTTATAGCCTGCTTCCATCTTTAGTCGTTTAGATGACCTGTAACAGAGTTATAAGCCTTGCGTGAGGTATGAAGGTTCAATAAGTACAAGACTTACAGATAAAATAGAAACGATAATATACACAATGATTGCAATGATATTAATTCACTTGCAGTTTACATGAGATTTACTTAGAATTGAATGATGAAAAATTAATAACGACAATATTTTTTTTATTTCAATTATGAAACGTATATAGTACATGTATATAACTTTTTTGACAAAAAATTTATGAACATTACATCTAATTTTGTCATAAATTATTGATAAAACATTGTTGCGTTTTTATAAATATCTAATAACATAAATATATGAAGAAATAATGGAAGATCATGCAACTAGCAAGCAATACAAACGTGTCTTAAAGCAAGCCCAATTACATATATGCACTAAAATTACACATGCACATAGCATATTAATATAATCGTAATATTTTATTTACTGTTTATTTTTGTAACAAATCTTGTAGAATAACGTAGAACAATGAAAAATAGCAAGATATTTCCTCTTCATCGCGAGTTAAAATGCATCACTTAATACATAGATCCTATATTGTAAATAATATTGCGGAGCGATTATTATCGCTATGTATCGCTATATATTTCGATTATTATTTGGTTAGCAAAGCTCAAGCACGTGGTTGGTTACATGATACACATACTTGACAGATATGAGTCAATAAAATTCAACACTCTGGACGTAAACACATATTAAAAGATTTGGAACTTTTGTTACCTATTATATATTCTTACAAGTGTTACAAAATTCGTCCATCTATTATTCAGCCACAATTACATTATCTCCTGAAACATAATTTTCTCCTATTAGACATTATGGCAATTATCTTGTGTGTCTATAATTCTTTTATCCAAAGTCATATATATATATATATATATATATATATATATATATATATATATATATGTCACTTTCTACATATTCCACAATACAAATTATGATACAGTCAGAAAAAACGTCAATGTCTATGTGACAATGACTATTATATATTTGAATGACTTATGTGTACATCCTCACATATATATAATATGAAATTACATCAGTCTATATTGTATATAAATCTAGTTATAAATTATTATTATTATACTCCGCATTCTTATATAAAATTTTGCTATATAATTATGACATTATTAACATCTTGTATAATAATATTCACAATTGTTGGTAACTATATTTTACATACTAATAATGATGCAACATTAATTAAAAATATTATTAATTAACAATGAATAAAAACATAATTTTATCTTAAATATATTTGTATAAACAGATAGTTAAACAAATTTTTAAAAGATTATACCATTAAAAAAAAAAAAGAGAGAATTTCATCAATATTGAACATTATAATTCGATTAATATAACCAGCTATTTGTTCATACTATAAACATATTTTAAATATATTTTTATCACGTACTACCAATGTATCAAATAAATCGTAGGACATATATATATGTATTTTATAAACTATCAAACTTCATGCTTATTATAAATGCCTTAATTACAGTTTGTATGTAAAAACATGTGACATGTTTTGAAACGTTATATTTTCCAAAGTATTTTACATCTGTATTTATAAATATATCTACTAGTTATACGAACACACATTTTATCATGAATACACACTCTCTATTGATAGATCTTCGTTCTCTTACAATGTACATTTTTTTGTGCAGAATATATTATATAATATAAAAAATCAATGTTTTTTAAATTCTTAAAACACATGACATATTTTTGAAATATAAATTGACAATATGAAGATATTGTCTCATTATACTGGCTCATTATCAGGAAATTCTTAACAAGAGCTTTATTATAGTGGGTGCGATTCACTTGGCGCTCCAAACGCTCTTGGAAACATTTCATCCTTGTTGTTTATTAAATGTTAAACAAGGAAAAAATGATGCTCTGAAGCGTTTGAAGCGTCTACTAAATTACACCCACTGTTAAAAACGTCTCTACAAAAACGAGATCTAAAACTTTTATTTCAAGAAAAAAATCAAAAGTTCCATTTAAGAAATTAGTCGCCTTTAAAATTTCTCGTAAACATCTATAATATGACTCACATCGGAATCATGTGTCCTCCTTTAAACCAAACAACTTTTGAAATATTTTTCTCTAAAAACTATTTTTGGAAATAAAAAACTTGTCACGCTTTATTTTGTCCACCCTGTATATGAGAATATACAGTGTATGTGCGTGTGTGCATTATATATATAATATAAGAATGGCATAAAAAAAATGTTAAAATGTTTATTATATTTATATATAATAAAGTAATAAATTAAAACTTTCAATAAGTAGAATTTTAAACAATTATGCTTATTGAAAGTTTTAATTTATTACTTTATTATATATAAATATAATAAACATTTTAACATTCTTTCTATGCCATTCTCATATTTATACTATTGGTATTGTACTTGGTTTTACTATTAGAAATATGATTTTAATATTTATATATTAAAGAAATAAAACTTTCGATTTACCTGCCTTTATTTCTAAAAATAAATAACGATAGAAAGTTATATGTATCAAGATATTTGTGGAATAAGTAGAAACAATAACATATATTTTATGCTTATTTTACACATATGAATCAGTAAACGCTGGTAAATAAGTATTTTCCACGATAATTGTCGAGTGCTGCTTAGTTTTTTTTTTTTAAGAGATATTAGTACATGATATAAGCATAAAAATAAAAAATATCAAAACAAAAAAAAGTTAAATAATAAAATGTTTGGATAGCGTTAAAGATTTATTCACAAAAAAATATTTTTAATAAATGTCTGAGTACGTTTAAGTATATTGCAGCATTCGAATATTATTTTACATTGCTATGACGTTCCATTAGAAAACATCCGAAGATTGAATTTAACTATAAAGATAGTGTCAGTAACGAACATGCAAAAAAAAATAATGTAAATACTAAATAAATACACAATGATTCGCCATTCGTATATTACAAGAAACTCATCATAACTATCTATAATATGAATCACTAAATTGTAATACAACAGTGGCTAGGAAGTGATTAAAGTATAAATGTACGCCGGAAATGTGAATATCTAAATAAATTGGATTAATTATAAATGAAATTAACAGAATCAAGGTTAATATCTTCATGACTTTAGTCTTGATCTTCTTGTATTTGCCTTCTTCGGTCTTCCAATGCAGCTCATCCATTGTATCTGTATATTTTGCCTATATATATTTATATATATATATATATTTACATTACAAAGTCTTACAACTCAGAGCTCATCTATTTGTACAGATCGTCGTTTTACGCTCTATCTGTAGATACCTCAAGAGCCTTTTTATGAAAAACAGCGAGGAGAATCACGCGTTGACGTCACCTCTATATTTATTTACAATCGTTATTTCTTTTAATCATGATTTTTCTACTTGCATGTTTGAATATAGATACAAATATATATTTATATAGAGATCCTTTTCTAAAAAGGAGATGTGAAGTTTATTGTTGCCGCTTTTCCGCGATGCCGATTGGTTTTCTTGCTGCGCTTACTTCATTTGCAGCTGTCATTGTATATTTTGACAGTTGTGTATAATAGGGTTAATAGTGAAATGTTAAAGATAAATAGCGCGCGCGTAGCGCGCGTCTGTAGTGTCTAGTGTTATAAATTAATCTCTAAAAGAATCTAAATCGATGCATGTGCGCAAAAATTATACACAAATGTTCCTCATTTTGATATATTAACGTGAGCGCATGCATAATTCTTTTTGCGGTATATTTGTATATATGCTGATGTATATTTATGTATATACATGTACATTCCCCTTTTGTATAATATTAGTGAGATATGTACATATACCTAAATAGATTAACTGAATAAACCGACAATTTAATTTTTACAATTGTCCTTAGAAACGAATGGTAGACTGAATCACAGTTATTACTCTAAAATGTATACCTTTTTCTTGTATAGAGATTTACACGTTAAAGTGGCGATTATTAGGCATTCATATATAGGACCGTAATAATATAGTTATAACAATCCTTATAAATTGTTCGATATGGATAGTAGAACGATAAAATTAACCCTTTAGCTGCAAATGCTACATATATTTTATGATCAAAGAACTTAAATACCACATCACAGAAATTAAAAACTTTGTTATAAGGAGTTACAAAAGAGAGAGAGACTATGTTCATTATAAATTTATTACACACCGCGTCTTTTTATATTAATCAAAATGATAAATTGAAAATAATAAATTTAGCCGTAAAATTGTATTTCTGGTCTATTTATTTTTAATTTAAAAAAGTGTTGGGTGACGCAGCCAAAGAGTTAAGTGGTATAACATATTTCATTATCATAAAATATTATCGCCGAGGCATGTTGCGTATGCCCTGAAAAATACAATATTTTAAGTATATATCTCACACAGTCTATCAAATCAATCGTTTAAGGATAAACAATCTCTGTAGAGCGAAGTCACGAACAGAGAAGGATGTTTCGTGCTTCTATTTTCCATTGTTCTGCGTTATTGCCATCGTCGTGTTTGAACGACTGTGAACGAAACTAAAATTAACTCGTTGATTCATCAGGTTGAAAGGAAGGAAGATCGGCATGCAAACGAGAATCGGAAGGAACACACAGAAATACTACTACATTTTCTTCTCGATGTCACTTCTCATTTTCAAGAAATTCATTACTTGAACAATGCATTTTGCTAAAGAAAATAAATGCAAAGCACAACTGTCGTACACAGCCATCTACGTGTATAAGCAAATTAGTTCTTGATCGAGACGTACGTCTCAGCAGCTCGTAAATTTGATTTCTTTACGGCTTTACTCACCCCCCGACATCTGATAGATCATCCTTGTTGGGACCTCCTTTATTCGGAAAGGGAAGGAGAGGAGGCAATTTTGCTGCAGCACTCTCTTGCTGTTCCCGTAACAAGCGCTTTCGCTTTTTACTCCAGAGCTCATGACAATCTTGCCAAGTCGGAAGCTGTGGCGCTGGCATCCTGATATATCGCGAAAGTGTAATGCGTTTTATAAATAAGATTTGAACTAAGAAACATATGTACTCCGATACACATGAAAAGCCGATACGAGAAAATGCAGAAATATAACCTACTGTTCAGGCTGAACGTTTTTCAACCAAGCACTCTTAAGCGCATCGGCTGCTGTTATCCGCTTTTCGGGATCTAATTCTAGCATTTTGTCCAGGAGATCCAAGGCTGTTCCTGGCATAAATGAGAAATCCTCCCGCAGACGTCTTCTATGCTGCTTCTTTGGCTTAAGTGCATGCCACTGTGGTAATTTTATCACAGAAGGCCAAACGGCAGGAGTGGGCGTTCCACAAACCCTCGAGATCATCTCCAATTGCATTATATCTACGTTAGCCTGGTAAAAAAAAATGACCGTAATTAATAATAAACTAATATTGATCTGTTTTTTCCAGCTTAAGAAATGGCTATTACCTGATATAAAGGTTTTACCTGAAATAATGGTTTCTTGGAAAACAATTCTCCCAAGATACATCCGCAACTCCAGACATCAATTGCAGGCCCATAACGTTCCTCTCCCAGCAAAAGTTCGGGGGGTCTGTACCATAGAGTGATCACCTTGTTGGTGTACGGTCTCTGTCTATCCTCCGCGTTATAAAGTCGTGCCAATCCGAAGTCGGCCAGTTTAACCTCGCCCCTATTAAAAATTGTTATCATACGTTACATTATATTAAGTAATTGCAAGAAGTAAATTATTTAGAAAATGACGCATATGTACTTGTTATTCATCAATATATTTGAGCATTTGATATCCCGGTGCAGGAAATTCTTGCTGTGACAATAATTTAAGCCATCCAACAACTGCTTCATGATACTGGCGTTATTCATCTCGTTGAAATCCACCATACCGGATTCCAGCAGACCCATCAAGTCATGATCCATGTATTCAAAAACTAGATAAAAGGAACCTTTATCCTTATCCTAAAACATAGAATAAAAACATGACATAATTAATTGATTCTGTAAAAATCTAATTAATTAAATTTAACTAGTAAAAAGTTATTCCATACTCCATGTTCCATTAGCGATGTTTGTCAGTATTTCAAATTACTGAGAAATATCTTAGAAAATAATTAAATTAGCGGTAGATTGATTCTATATATTTAATGTATAATAGAAAATTTTTCTCTTTCTCTCTCTCTCTCTCTCTCTCGTGTATGCGATAGCACGATAATCCCATCAACATGCTGCTATGTCGGATTATATATAAATTATATTCTACATAATTCTTGTTAATAAATAAAGTACCGACAAATATATTGTAATACTGCTAGAGTGCTGTTACAGATTGTATATAGCCAGGGCTAAAAAAGTACCTTCCGGAAATCTTGAGCGTCTTGCTTGTCAGTGACGATTTCTCTGAGGTTAACAATATTCTTGTGATTGAGCTGTCGTAGGATCTTTATTTCTCTGACTGCCGTGATGGGAAAGCCTTCCTTCTCGTTTTCAAGTCGGACTTTTTTCAAAGCAACCATCACGCCGGATCGTTTGTCTCGTGCCTTATACACCTGCCCATATGTACCCTCTCCGATCTGCGCAATAAATTCGAACACGTCGACACATCGTTCGCCCCAATCCTTGCCGCCGGAAGCCGACATAGGAGCATGACAGTTTCGCGATCCTCTGCGTTTCAGTATTTTCGGTCTTTTCAATTTCGGCTTTGGTGCCACTCGTTCGACCTTCAAACGCGGCGGCGTTGCATTCGGATCGTCCTCGCCACTCAAGTCTTCCGATCCAGGCACAACTACAGTTCAAGTTAGTAAATTAACACGACGTTATAATTTTAACTTAAGCAACGAATAAAGATCTCGTCCGTAAATAAAACATACCTGGCGGCATTGGCAGATCCTTGATACCCTTTTTCTGCAGCGGCTTCGTTGACGTTGGAAATTTCAATTGCACCTTGCTGGGAGGGCTCGGAGAACGACTCGGCGGAGAATCTATACTTTCCAAATCATTCTGGTTAATGCCAGGTGGCAATGGTAATCTCTTTAGGCTTTTGGTCGTGAACGTTACTATGGGAGGCTTGGGAGGATCCACAGATTTAAGTGGCACGAGATTATTGGGTTGATTAAACTTGGACATAATCGTGTTGGGCGCTGGAACGGGAATCGGTGGAATGGGTGGCGGTGGGACAGACATATTGGGTAGAATCGGTGTCGGCGGGATTGGCGGCACCGACACTTGTGTCAAGGCTGTCGATACAGATTCGGCAGATTGTGGCAGTGGTGGCGGCGGTGGGGGCGGTGGTTGTACTCCAGGAGCAGGAGCCGGGAAATTCGGGCTGTGTGACACGACGATCGGACAACTGTTGGGCATCATCGATGGTGGGTTGGGCGAGGTATGCACAATCGCGTGAGAAACAAGCGGATTCATCGCAGTGGGTATCGGATTAGGTAGCGGTACGCCGGTTGGTGGCAACGGTGGCGTTTTGCACGCTACAACGCCGTCGTCGCTCGTCGGAACAGGAATATCGGTGACGTCGACCACGCTATCGCCAGTCTTTGCGTGTTGCTCCTTGTAATTTATAGATCTGTCTTTATTGTCGGTAAAAGCTTTAATCTCGGCGGACACGCTGCCGCCATCGCCGTCCTTCTCGTCGGTGCTCTCTATGATTTGCACTTCGTCTTGGTTCCCGACTTTTTCTTTCGCGGCCTGCAACTTCTTGAACGCCAACTCCCTCATGTTACGGTCCTTAACGAGTTCCGCGAACAGACTGGTCTCGCTGATCTTGGCCTGTACTCGAAGATTTCGGGCGGTGATGCTCGACGGGCTTCTAGCCCGAGATCTGTGAGGAGAAGGAGAAGGTATTCTAGGACGCGGGCTCTTCGATTTGAGTTTCCTCGAGGTCTTGCGGGACTTGCTGGGCGAACGCGATCTTCTTGGGGTGCGACTCCTTCTGGGGCGCGAACGCGACCTCGAGCGAGACAGTTTTCGCCATCTTCCCGGACTGCGCGATCGCGACCGAGACAGAGGCAAATGTAATCTAAAATGGATCGAAAATCGTTATATACGTGAATGTGTGGCGCAACAAGTTTACTTCCTGTGGTATAAAAGAATAACTTTTGTACCATGAATGACATGAACGTACCTGCTTCCAGTGGGACTCCTAGTTGATCTCGATTTCCGCTTGTCTCTCCTGTCCTTGTCGTGAACCCGGTGACTACGTCGCTCGGTCTCGTCTCGTCTTCTACGTTTAGGGGAAATAACTCCGCTGTCCGTTCGTCGCCTGTGACTACTCCCGGGACTCGGACTAAACTCTCGTCGTCTGACGGTGGCCGGACTCGGGCTGTGCCTAAGTCTATGGAGCACCGGAGTAGGACTAAAGTCTCTTCTTCGCGACGGTGGACTATGATCCCTTCGTCTCGACGGTGGACTCGGGCTGTGTGGCCTCCTGCGGTTTACGCCAACGGGTCCGGGACTAACGCTGGAACGACGGGTCACGTGGATACTGGGACTACGTTTCTGCCGATCGGGACTGCTGTGCTTTGGCACGACGACGGGCCCGGTTTTATTCAAATTCTCCGGCGTCGTAGCGCACGGAGGCATCAGTGGCGTATGCGGCGATTCTACCTGCCTCGTCGACGAGTGAGTTGGCGGGGTGACGTTTCGCGACGTCTGCCTCGACATCTCTAGTTCCACGTCGTCGCTAGGACATCTCTGCTCGCGTGGCGTAGCCGGGGAGATGGGCGACATGTTGTCCTTGAGTGGTAGTGGGGGTGATTCTGACCAGTGAACGGAAGCGCCAACCGACGACTTGTCGCGGTTCGGACTTGGAACGATTTCCTCGGCGACAGAACGATGCGGGCTCATGCTGTGAGAATGCCTCTTGGATTTTCTCTTTTTCTTCTTCCCCGAATTCGACGACGGGGTCAGACTTCTTTTCTTCTTCTTCTCGCGTTTGTGCTTCTTCTCCTTTCGTCGGGCGTACCGTCTTGATTCTTCCTCGTATTCCGGCGTTGCGCCATGCATCGTCGTCGGTTGTTGTTGCTCACTCGACAAGGAGTACCGTCTACCGGAATGTCGATGCTGAACCGACGGTGACGGAGATAGGCTGATTGGCGACGCTCCGAGAGCGCGAACCGGACTGCCGCCATAATATCGTCTTTGAAGGAACGATTCAGGTACCTCTCCATCCGTGTAACTGTTGGCGCGACTATCCTCCGATTGTATCTCTCCCGCTTCAGGCTCTGAGAGATCTTCGCTACTTACATCGGAATATTCGACCAATGGTTTCACGACGGACGAAGCTACAGTTGGAATTGTCTCTAGTGACTTGTCGCGCGAACGTTTCTTCTTTTTTTTCCCAGAGCTCTTACTTTTGCCATGTCTTCTGTGTCGTTTGTCAGGACTGTCAAAGCTGTGCCTGTTCACGTCGCTGCTCGCGCTGCCTCTTCTTCGTGAGCGGAATCTCCCATTACGTTCGGCTCGTTCAATATCACGAGTGCTAGGCATGTCACCTACTAAAAATAAAACGAATATCAATAAAGTGATATATCTCTACATATATATGCATACATATACATTAATTATAAAAGCATATTGTTATTGTATGCTGTGACATAATGAACAACAAACAAAAACAATTCTCATAGGCTAATAGAATTAAATAACAAGTCCTGCGTACATATTCGTTATCGTTAGGTATATCTTGATGTTGTTAGACATCATTATCATTCTTTACGCACACACGCACACATACGCGCATTTTAAATATCACTAATAAATTTATAAGGTTTTTTTTTTCCGAAGAATATTAATTTTATTTTCTTGGTCAAACAATTTTACACGTAGGTACGTATGTATAACACACTACCCTAAAGCTAAGAGGTAATTTTATTTTTTATCAGCCCTCGTTAAGACCGCGAATGGGGAAAGTATATCAGCAGGAGCTGACAGGAGGGAGCGGGAGACACTCTTCTTTCTCGCTTGCCCTAACATCAACGTCATCAACGGAAACGCGACGATCGGAAATAACGCTACTGCTTCGACATGCCTCGACAGCGACATTGCACTGGCTTAGTTTACATCAGGTTTACGCCGACCACCGACCGTTTAGCGTGTATACGCGTACCAAGTACTATATTCGGACTAAATCCATTGGCACGATCGGTGTAAACTAATGGATTTAGTCCGAATATATAGTACTTGGTACGCGTATCAAAAGCTCGGTGTAAATCAGATCACTGTCTCGGAGTCGAGACGAGCACTCGTCGAGTCTCGCGGCTCGCGGCCGATCGTCATGGATTAATGAATATATGTATGACACTCACGAACTCACGCGCGACCGACACCATGCACATATGTACACACGTACATACATACACACACTCATTCGCTCACTCCGCACGCAGTACGCACGCAGACAGACAGCGATACGTGTACGTATATAGCGATATCGCGAAAACGACGAACGACGCGATTACCTTGCGACTTGCGAGCGAACGATCGCGTTATGCTAATAAGCTGCGTCGCCCTCGCTCGGATCCAAATCCAAGACGGACGTGAATCGACGACGAGCGAGCGGACACGGGTAGGAGACGCGGCGAGGAACGCGGAGCCACGAGGATCTCGAGCGAGCCAAGCACGGCCGCCATTGCGCCCTACACGTACCACGTACCGACACCACGGACTCGCCCAGTTTCTTTTCCCGAGCGAGAATCCGCGACGGTCCCAGGACGATGTAGATGCGAGAACCCGGGCGGGAAATTGCGCGACACGCGTACTTACGTGCGATATATGTCCTGCAACGTCGCGGCGAGCCTCGGTGTTGTTCGCATCAGGTCCAGAACCGACACCGAAGGCCGATGATGAGAGTGCGTGACGGTTACGTCGTTCCTCTTCGCGCAAAGCAGTTCCAGCACGTAATTCGCGGACGACCGATGTCTCCGGCCGAAAAATTTATCTTTCTCGTGAACGTACGGCGTTCAGGCGATCATATTTTTATGATTCTACCGGCCGATCGTATCATGTCTCATGTATTTTCTTTGGATTGGATTCTGGCTCGCTCATAAAAGGGTATCTCGACCGAGTGGAAGCCATTAACCATTAGCACGTCATTTCTGCGTGACGTAACGCCTTTGCTGCCAGAGTCACCTCTCGGTCCTCGCGCACCGGTGTCACCGCTGGTGTCGCCGCGGCGCGGCGAACGTTAGAAGTTACTAGGGAGTTCTAGGGACGAAACGAAACGAGCTAGACAAAGGCGCGCTACTGGCGCTAGGAACTTTGCTCGTCTATGCGCAGTAGCTGAACTTCCTGCACGCGTTTATCTTTCCTTTTTTTCTTTTTACGTTGGAGAGAAAAAGAGAAAAGATGAACTGTGCAGAAAGTTCAGATAAATAGAACAGACCTAAATATCTCTCGTTGGACGGAGGATAGACCCCAAACGACGGAGCCAATCAGAGATCGTTAACACGGTTTGTCCGATCTCACTGATCTCTGGTTACTTATGTTACGTCTATATATTCTTATGTCTATGGTTATAACCTCATTTCGTTCATGGCGAACATAACCTATGTTCTATGTTAAATTGGAAAATTTTACGAGAACAATAACGTAAATCGCAAAAGAGACACAAATACAGAGGGATACGGGCGGCGAAACGCTGATCTGGCGATTGAATATCTGCTAAGGAAGGACGAGATCGCGAGGAAGTTAACTCAAAAATATGGGCGAACGCTACAATATCCATAGTCAATTGGAGCATCTGCAATCCAAGTACATCGGTACGGGACACGCGGACACGACCAAATTTGAGTGGCTGGTGAATCAGCACCGAGATTCCTGCAGTTCGTACATGGGCCACTACGATTTGCTAAATTTCTTCGCGATCGCCGAGAACGAAGCCAAGGCACGAGTCAGATTCAATCTTATGGAGAAGATGCTGCAACCCTGCGGACCACCGCCCGAGAAGCCGGAGGATTAAATTTGCTTTTGCGTGTTTCTTCCTTTTAACATTTTTTCCCCATGTGACAGAAAAACTCTTGTAACTCTTGGAAAAAATTAATTTTTTATCCTCTTTATATTATTAAAAAAGATGTGTTTCATGGAAAAGGAAAATTAATAAACTCTCGAGTGGATTTCGTTAAATCCGCCAATATTACGTGTTAGTGTGTTTGTGTTCTCCCGCAACGCAAGTCCCGCATGATCGACGCATATATCGACCGATCGACGTATTGATATAACCTTAATCGTGTTTGCGTTAACTGGTTAGAAGGCGTCTACGCTCCTGACCCGATAGGAGCAACACAAAAAAAAAATGCGTTAACTGGTTAACAAGGAGATATACGGAAAACGGTTTTTTCATAATCTTGCAGTATTGAAAGACATTTTATGCAAGAAAAATAATCAAGATGCCTCCATTTCCGTTATGCTCCACAAAGTGTGGGAAAAATGCCATTTTAAAGGTGAATTATTTTCTCAGTTTTATACCGTATCTAAAAGATTGTTCAATATATTATTCAATATACTGTCAAATATAATTGAAGGAAATACATATGTATATTTTTAGAGGCCAAAAACTGGCGATACGTTGTGCAAGGAATGTTTCTTCTTGGCGTTTGAGACTGAAATTCACGATACTATCGTCAATGGTAAATTGTTCAAGCCTGGTGACAAGGTTGCCATCGGAGCATCGGGTGGAAAGGATTCCACAGTACTAGCTTATGTCTTGAAGACTCTGAACGAAAGATACAAATATGGATTGGATCTGTTTCTTTTGTCCATCGATGAAGGAATTACCGGTAATGTAACTATACCAGTCTATAAAAGTAACATGAAATTACTTGTAGCATATAAAAAAATTTATATATTTTTTTAAATGCATCATTTTAGGGTACAGAGATGATAGCTTGAAAACTGTGACACGTAACAGAGATGATTATGGTATTCCACTTAAAATTTTATCGTATAAGGAGTTGTATGGATGGACAATGGATTCTATAGTCGCAGAGGTAAAATATATTAAATCTAAGCCTTCTGATTAAGCCTACTAAGAACTACTTGATTGATGCAATAATTATTGGACTTGATAATTTAAGGATATGCCAACCAAATGTATACGTGCACCGGCAGAAATGGTGTCCCTTAGGGCACTTTAGGCAAGGTTACATATATAAGCACACGCATACGTATACCTAGTCGCCACTGGACACCATTTATATGCCGGTGCGTGTACCGATGCACAGTCCGTCTCGTCGTTTCGCATCAAATTGGCGCGAGACAGCCGTATTTCTCGATAATTTCAAGATCCAGTAAAAAACACGTATATGTATTTTAGATTGGCCGTAAAAATAATTGCACATTCTGCGGCGTTTTCCGAAGACAGGCATTGGATAGAGGGGCTGCAATTTTGGAGGTAGATTGCATCGCAACAGGTCATAATGCGGATGATATCGCTGAAACGGTATTAATGAATATTTTGAGAGGTGATATTGCCCGACTACAGAGATGTACATCTTTAATCACTGTAAGAATAATATTGCATACACGCCATATGAAATTACACAACAAATGTTTGTTATCTATATTTTTATGTAATATAGGCTGGTGCAGATTCTATCATGCGTTGTAAGCCACTGAAATATGCATACGAAAAAGAGATTGTCATGTATGCATATTTTAACGGTCTGGTATACTTCTCCACGGAATGCATATATGCTCCAAACGCTTATAGAGGTTACGCACGAGCCTTTCTAAAAGATTTAGAGAAAATAAGACCTTCATCTATCATAGACATAATACATTCAGGTAAAAATATTTTTCTTGTAATATTCTACTAATATTATTGTATTAACGTTTATCTGTTACGTAACCTGAAAATTGTAAAAATAATATTATCTACTAGGTGAGCAGTTACAAGTGAGAGATAACGTAAAAATGCCAGAGAGAAGAAATTGTACTCGATGTGGATTTGTTTCAAGTCAAGAAATATGTAAAGCGTGTGTTCTGTTGGAAGGTTTGAATAGAGGACTACCAAAACTCGGTATTGGTAAATCTAATAAAGCTAAAAAGATCATGAGCTTGCACGTTGATAAAAAAAACCAACAGCAAAGTACAGATTTTTAAGATTTCTATATATCTAAATATGTAACATGTACACGTAAAATATACTTTCACAAAAAAAATTATCTTCTACGTATATTTTTTATTTGGGGAAAAAACATTGTGTTCGTACATAAAAAAATTTAAAATTTCAAACAAAGCCATTGTATACAGTTTTAAAGCAGTAAGCTTGATAATTGATAACAAAAATAATTTATATTTCTGATTATGAAATATATATTAGTATTATACATATATTTAAAATCACGTACATCGTCACAGGATAGTTTTGTAATTTTGTACTCCTGTTAACTATTATAATTAATGTACGTGTGCTTATATATTATAATTCAAGTTTTGACTTATAAATAAAATTTGTACATATATATACCTTCATTTAAAAAAGATAGAATCATACGGGATAATATCACTTTAATCAATCATTGTTTTCACTTTCTAATACAATAAAAATATTCTTGCTATATGAAACATGTATTCATATCAAATTGAAATTTATGGTATATATGCCGCTCTCCTCTCAAGGATTTGTTTTCTGCATATGGGACAATTATTTTTTATGCTAACTGAGCAATCTTTGCATATGCATACATGACCACAAGGTAGTAAAATAATTTCACGTGCGTTTGTGAAGCAAACTACACATGTTTGATCTTCTCTAAGATCTTCATCCCTGAGTCTTCGACGTCTTTCTCGACGCTCTCCTGATGTTTCAAATGATTGACACGACTGAGATGCCACCTTTTGCTCCGGCTCCGGTGTATTTTTCCAGTATTGTGTTGCCATGATTCCTCCGACTACCAATCCAATTGCACCACCTATCAAACCAAATCCCCAATGTGAACCATCAGAGCTGTCCTTGTTCACGTCGTTGCTTGTGTTGCCTCTTCTTTGTGAGCGGAATCTCCCATTACGTTCGTCTCGTTCGATATCACGAGTGCTAGACATGTCACCTATTAAAAATAAAACGAATATCAATAAAGTGATATATCTATACATACGTATATATGCATACATATACATTAATTATAAAAGCATATTTGTATACTGTGACATAATGAACAACAAACAAAAACAATTCTCATAGGCTAACAATTAAATAACAAGTCCTGCATACATATTCGTTAACGTTAGGTATATCTTGATGTTAGACATCATTATCAATCTTTATGCACACTGCCCTAAAGCTAAGCTTAGAGGTAACTTTATATTGCGGGGTATTTGTTATCAGTCCTCGTTAAAACCGCGAATAGGGAAAGTATCAGCAGGAGCTGACAGGAGCGAGTGGGAGACATTCTTCTTTCTCGCTTGCCCCAACATCAACGTCATCAACGGAAACGCAACGATCGGAAATAACGCTACTGCTAGTACTGCTTCGACAGCAACATTGCATGATTGCACTGGCTTTTACAGGTTTACACTGTCGCACTCGCTCGCACTCCAAATCCAAGTCGGACGTGAATCGACGACGAGCGAGCGGACGCGGGTAGGAGAATCGGCGAGGAACGCGGAGCCACGAGAATCTCGAGCGAGCCGGCACGGCCGCCACCACGGACTCGCCCAGTTTCTTTTCCCGAGCGAGAATCCGACGGTCAGGACGACGTAGATGCGAGAACCCGGGCTGGAAATTGCGCGACAACAGGCTCACGGTCGTATTTACGTGCGATATGTGTCCAGCAACGTCGCGGCGAGAGGTGTTGTTCGTATCAGAGGTCCAGAACCGACACCGAAGGCTGATCAGCTGATGATGAGAGTGCGTGACGGTTACGTCGTCGTTCCCAAGATCGGTAAATGGACGACGGCGCAAACCTTGCGTGTACGCGCACCGGCAGAAATGGTGTCCCTCGGCGGCAAGGTTACATATATAAGCACATGCATACGTATACCTACCACCATGCGTCACTAGACACCATTTATGCCGGTGCGTGTGCAGATGTACAGTTCATCTCGTCGTTTCGCATCAAATTGGCGCGAGAGACACGGCCATTTAGTTTTGTAATTTTGTACTTCTGATAACTATTATAATTAATATACGCGTGCTTATATAATTCAAGTTTTGACTTATAAATAAAATTGTGCATACATATATATGCCTTCATGTAAAAAAGATGGAATCATACGGGATAGTATCATTTTAATCAATTGTTTTCACACTTTTTCTAGTACAATAAAAATATTCTTGCTATATAAAACATGTATTCATATCAAAATGAAATTTATATTATATATGCCGCTGCTTTCTGAAGGATTTGTGTTCTGCAAATGGGACAATTATTATTGATGCTAACTGAGCAATCTTCGCATATGCATACATGGCCACAAGGTAGTAAAATAATTTCACGTGCGTTCGTCTTGCAAACTACACATATTTGATCTTCCCTAAGATCTCTATCCCTGACCCTTTGACGTCTTTCTTGACGAGATGTTTCGAGCGATTGACGCAACTGATCTGCCAACCTTTGCTCCTGTTTATTCTTCCAATAGCGTCTTGCCATAATTCCTCCGAGTACCAATCCAATTGCACCACTCATCAAACAAAATATCCTATGTTAAAGAGGATTATATAAATACACAGACTATAACAGATATTATAACAAATAATGTTCTAATTATTTCTACTAGAATTTACGTGCCTGTATATTTTTTTACGATCATCCAATTTCCGTATCAATGAGGTAATTGACATGCTTGTTATGTAAAAAGGAGGTCCATTTAATGGAGGTTGCAAAGTAAGATAATTGGATTCGGTTTTCGACCTCGAGAGCTCACCTATTGCTGTAATAATTGAATCTTTACGCAACATTTTTTCCGTAGACTGTATACCACGTTGACGTACGCCTAATAAATCATAATATATAAATTATAAATGCAAGTTTCAGAACTTGAGATACACACATACATTTTTCTACAAAATATACACGATATAATTCTATATTATGTAATAAAAAATAAATGGTCCTATTGCACATTTTATTGCAATTACCTGTAAAAAATTCCCATACGTGATCTATGATTGTAGGTACACTAGGTTGAAAATTATCAGAGATTACGTCCAAGTCTAAAATATCGGCCGACAACGGATCTATTATTTCTATGGAGTGCCATCTGTTTTGCAAAACAAACGGTACCGTATGATACACTTGATGAATCGTTCGTTCTTGGTCAGACCTGTGGAAAGTTACATGGATAATTTAAAGAAAAAGAAAACAAAAGCGATATAATGATATAGTCAAGCTTGATATTTGTTATAATCAGAATTTTTCGTAAAGTAGCGATGTGCAATCCTACCAATAACCAGCTGACGTTCTTGCGACAACATGTTCTCTGACACTAAGCTTCTGTATGACTCCGGTAACATCTTTTTTATTAACGCTTTGCAATGATTCTCCTAATGGTTTCACGATCCCTCTGACAGCGATGTAATCTACCTTGTTATTCGGGCTCTTATCCAATAGACTTTCCAAATCGGTGCCAATGTCGTGTAGCTCAACGCTCTGCAAAACACATGTTTTTAAATCGCCTTTGAAATATTTCAAAAGATTCTAATTTAAATTAATATATCTCAGTAGTTTAACAATAAATCAATATGGTCTACCTTGATTGCCTTAATCGCATTTTTGTAATGAATATACTGTTTCAGACAGATGGTGAATACAATCGTGTCAATTCCGAGCAAAAATATTTCGCTAAAGTACTCCATGATTAGATTACGTTCCTGAACATATTACCGCCCATCTTTACGTTGCTTCAATCTGCATCAATTCATTTGGACTAGGGTTACACACGGTTGGACATCCATCCCGAAATATTTTTAAAATTGCAAGGAATCAAGAAAGAAATGGAAGGAAGACACTGGCGTGTCTCTACCTACGAAGACAAGATAACCTCGACGAGTTTTCGTTTATCAGTTAGTTGCCGTATTCGAGAAAACCATGATCGACTTTTCGATCGATACACTAGTGACTAGTTCTGTTTGTTTTGGCACTTTATTTGCTTTTATTTGACGTATGTATGTAACTTTTCTCTTTTCTCTTCGCTCTCTCCCTCTCTCTCCAATATCCGAAAATATATCCAACTTTTGTTCGTATGCGTGGGTATGGGGGTGCATACGTATGTGTCACACATGCATAAACCCCCGATAAACTCGTGTTCTGAGTGAACGTATAGTACTTATAGGTTAGGAATTTATTCGCGCGATTTTTGACGTTACAGCAGCGACCAGCGATTATTGCTGCGAAGAATTACATTTATAAAAATATATAATCGTGCAGATATCAGATAATTTCAATGAAGATTTATAGGAGAATTTTGACGCAATTGAGCCACGAGAAATCGATCGTTATGCAAACGTTTATTTATTGGAATAACGCAGCGCAGCGTAAACAATGCAATTTTATTGCCGTGTTACGATCAAATCGACAACGGAGGCTCGACGAGTTTCTGTCCAATTCTGATATTTTCTGAGAATGTGAGAAACTCTTACAAATATTAAAATCAACGTTGGATATTATGCTATATAGACTAAATGCTGAAAGAATTCCTGGATATCTTCGTCTGCGTAGACTGATTAATACTGTTAAAGTTTACAAGTAATAAGCCACAAAGAAGGTAAAGTATATTATGCTTTTTTACTTTTTGTTAACAAATTCTTTATAATTTTTTTAAATATAATATGGGACAATTGATCAAACTCTGATTAATTCAATCGGCGATTAACTTGATCAGCAGAATTGCTTACAGTAAAATTGTTAACTATAATATATAATTCATTAATAGAATTCATTCTATTGATGATAACAAAACAGAAAACATTATTTTAAGTATCTTGATTATCTGTCATATTATATTTGTCCGTATTAATTTGTTTTCCTTATGCGTGGTTTTAGATTTTATCCTCAGGAAATGGTCCTAGTCCAAAAGAAGAGATCCTACACACAGAAGGTTTCTTCTCATACATGCATTTTGAATGCGCGTGGCCTTGGAGGGTTAATCCTGCACAGCTGCTGGACATTCGCGAATGATTCGGTGCCCTTGTCCTGCATGACGTCACTAGTAACGTTAGCTGGTCGTAACACTTGTTCGCACTTGTTCGTGACGGAGAAACGGCGATCCATGAGGCAGCGCGTGCGCCTTCGTCGGCCGTCGGCGGATCGCGAGATTCGCGAGTCGCGACGTGTCGTCGTCGTCGTCGGTCCGTCCGCCGTCCGTCATCCGCGTCGGGTCCGCGTGGAAAGAGCAGGATAGAGAAGAAGAGAAGCGCGTATATCAGTTACGGGTTACAGCTTACAGTGCAAGCGGGCTTAGCGGGCTGCCAGCTAGACGGGTTTCCCGGTCATTTTTTTTCATCATTATCCGAGTTTTGGTGTAAGAAACCAACAGCAGATAGAGACATGTATAAACGGCAAGAAGCTACGAAGATGATCGGAAAAACGTTCTCGTCGAGGTTGAGATCTTGCAACTCGCGCTTCCGTTTTCTCATCGCTTTCCAAAAATAAGCGGTCATCATATAGCGTTTAGCGCATCAGCTATATACCGTACAGTGTGTCATTTCGTGCGCTTCCCAAGGAGAAACCTTCGATTTGCATCTTCCTGCTTTCGCCTTCTTTTGTCGCAGAGAAAGAGGAAGGAGGAAGAAAGAATCTTTACGTTTTACGCGTCAGTTCGCTCGGCGCTCCGTGTGTTCCGTTTTCCGTTCCGATTGATCGATAGCACAGACCTGGATAATTGGGTCGCGCACGGCTAATCGCAAGTATCGCAACTCGGATAAGCCGAACTGCGCCTGCATCCACGAAAAAGAAGAGGAGGAGGAGACTGGAGGCAAAGAAAGGATTGAAGATGGGGGAAAATTTTTGCCGGGAGACAAAGAAGAACTCTTAGACGTATAAGATTCGTTCGTATGTCTTGGGCCACGTCCACATATATGATGAAATTGCAGTTGCTCGTTATCGAGACGGACTACTGCTGGAGGAAAGCCTTGCTTAGGTAAACGATTATCCGTTCGTTTTTCCCAACACGTGTTCTCTGCGAATACCCACTTCTGTGTGCTTGCCCTGCTTTGGCAATTTTGAGTTGCATGAATAATACGAAATGATTAAAAGAACGTGCTATTGTGTTAAATATAAAGATTTAATTGCTTTTCTATACCATCTACTTTTAAGTAAAGGAACTATATTACGGTATATTTTTTAACTGGTTATTTGTCGGATTGTCATTTGTGGAAAAAATCAGCTAAGCAAATTGTTAGTTTACTCAATCTTTATGCATTGCTCATCGGCAATCGGCATCTGGCTGAATCCGACTTGAATCCATGACGAAGAGCAGGAAGGCAATCATATACATATATAGATCGTAGATCGTAGGTTTAACAATATAATCACTTTTAATTACTTTTGGCACGTCAAACGATCATTGTAGCGCGGCCACTTTTGATTTCTGCTTTTATTATTACTTGTAGCAATTGCATATTTTTATATTTCTGTCGTGAGACATTGTCAATTACTTATCATGTGTTATCCATTATTTTATCATTACAGTTACATTATGCGTTATCCAATCCATCACTCGAAGAAAGGATCAGATCGTATATCATGGTGTCGCGTTAGTACTTCCAGCCAGATTTGCGAGCAGCATTAAACCGGCATCAATAATGTATCTCACCCGCTTTGAATAAAGCAATATTTTCATCGTTACGTCTGTACCACATTTTTCATTGTTCTCATGCATTTCATTCTCGTACGTAGGTACTTTCGTACTTGATAAGATCGCGATCGAATGTCAAGATACGCGATGTCGGTGACACGGACATGTGGAAAGGTCAATAAGTACTACAACAAGTTACTCTTTTCTATTTATTATCATTCCTTAAAAAAGGCAAAACAAATGATTCGTTCCACTGATGGTTACTCTGGTTAGTGCCGTTTTTATAAACATACAACATTCTATTTTTCTAATTTGCAAATCGACATGGGATAGACAAGTTGAAACCTTGTCTATGAAACTCAGACAAGCGATGTCGATCAATTCTCGCTGTAGTCAAATTGATTATTCGTTTTTCTTTATTATTGGACTATGTTGTATAACAGAGACAGTAATAAACGATTTAGTTGACGGTGATTAACGCTAATTCACGGTCAGGCTTTGTAAATCAGCTTTGTAAATCATTTGATATCTTGAAAACTAATTCCGGTCACATTCGATTGAGGTTTATCTCCGATCTCGATATCAATATGAGATAAGAAATACTAGAACTAGAGAAACGATTCAAATTCTGGCGGGTAGGTATCGGTCGATATCTCGCTTGCCGTAACCGTCGTCGATGTGCTCGTGTCGCCGCTCGCCGCGCGGTGACGCGCAGGACCGGTCGGTCAGTGGCGCGACCAGTTGCCGTCGGTGACGAACTAGGAATGCACGATAAACGTGTCCGCGCGCGTAAACAAGCTTTAGTAACTCCTTGCTTCGTCCTCGTGGACGAACGCTAAGATTTTCACATATGATTCTTCGGTGATTCTTCCGTCGTTCTCGCTCTACATGCGTAAATGTACGGATTTTTCATTCTCCGGTCTCCGGTCCGTTGTTTCGTCGCGACTCGCGACGCGCGAGGAACGAGGAACGAGGGTCGAGGAACGACGAGAACGAATCGGATGATCGGATGACGCCATCTTCGCCCGTCCTTTTTTTTTTTTCTATGAAACGTCACGTCTGATCGGAGTGCGCGAACCACGGCTGAAGCCAGGCTGAAGCATGCTGAAGCGGCGCAAGGCGGCAGGCGCAAGTTGTTGCAAGTTGTGCGCGTAGTCGGTGTCGGTGGTCTAGTCGGTCATTTAGTTTGTGCGACGAGCGTGCGGAGTGCGGAGAGTGCAAAGTGCGGACCTCGCGACGGATGCTCAGGAATCGTCACCGGTGCCGCGGTGGCGTCGTCCGGCGCGCTCTGACGTCCGATACGTTCTCGCACGTTCACGGAACGGAACAAAGTTACATTCACGACGTACATATACATATACTTTATATACGTGCGGGCGTGACTAACAGTGACTAAATGAATTTGCGTCCAAGATCTAGTCCCGAGAATCCGTCGTCGCCGAGAGACGGGCGCGTGCTCGAAGAGGAGTCGTTTGCCATCCAGTGTCCATGTAAAATCATTCACTAGACTGCCCTCTCCCCCGCTCCTCCGTTATATAGTTGGTTAGTTTCGTTCGTGTGTCGTTTCATTAGTGTTGTGTGGCCCTCTTGTTTCACACGTTCTCTCTCTTTCTCTTTCTCTAATTTTCCCCTGGTCTGTTTCTCTCCATCTCCGTCTCCATCCCACGCTCCGTTTATTCTCTTTCTGGCTCTCTCTCTCTCTCCTTCCTGCATACCCCTCATAAGAAAGCCACCGTATTCGGATGCGTATTTTGTTGGTTATGTTTCTCGTTACCTCTCGTCCTCGTCCCTCTCTTCGCACGTAGTCTCGTAGCACACAGCTATATACGATTATAACGCATAATCGTATAAACACGTGTGTGCGTGCGTGCGTGCGAGCGCTACGCATCTGGCAGGCGGCAGCTGGCTTCGGGAGAAAGAGAGAGAAAGAGAGAAAGAGAGAGTGAAAGATAGAGGGAGGGAAGGAGGAAACTTTGTCTGAAACTGCAATTGACATAGTAGTGTGTGTGTGTGTACGTATAAAGTAAAATGCATAAATTAAGACTACCTGTCAAGGTCGAATTGCCCAGTGCTTTAACAAGGTATAGCGAGACCTAATTTACAGGTTACTTATTTATTTTTTTCTATTATTTCTCTTACGATTTCGTTGCGCCCGCTTGTAACTCGTAACCGTCGTCGTCGCGTCGGGGCACATTTGTACGTTGTACGTTTAAGTTCTGGATACATAATTCTGGGTATTGTCGCATGCCGAAGCTTCGTTTTACACCTTATTGCTTATTGTTGCTCTTCCTGAATCGTACACCCTCTCCGGATATGACACTGTGCGTTGCGTTCACATCGTACGATTCTACTTGTTGCGTTTGTTATGTCGTTGATTTCTCTGGGGGTTTAGCATGAAATTTTATCTCCTTTTCATACGTAGGAATATTACTTGTATTGTATCCACAATTCTACACATTTATGTTCCGCGAGATTAAATGCTTAGGAGATAACGCGCGCTATCGTCTCTGTGTAAGATGGACATTGGCCTATTGCCTATTATGCTCTTATTTCTGCCGTTCTGTTATCATGACAGCACAGTTATGCTAATGATATCGCGCCAATCACAACATGTTTGTTTCGCACCTAGAATTATGGAATCCGTTTTATAATCAAGTTTTCTTTTTAACAATTTTTAGCTCGTTAGGAAAAATATTTGATATCGCGATATCATTTTTCTCGCACGAACTATAGAATATTACAAGTTCAAAATAGCATTAAAACGCTACATACTGAAAATGAAAAATTTTTATGACAAGTATATGAAAATATTTATCATTGGTACTCGATAGATTGATATATCACTTTATTATTATCGTGCATTATCGCTTTAGTAAACCGATATCATTTTCGTCATAAGGCGTGATTTATAGGTTTTTACTGCAGACGACGCGATTATTTGGAGGAATTGTTTGACAAATTTGAATGTGTCGCTAATTAAAACGTGAATTGCTTTTCTTTGAAAAAAGTGATTTTTTTTTACGAAAATCAAGACATTAATTATTTAAAACTTAACATGTTAAGATTTGCACGAAATTTGGTTCAATTGTATTTGAAATTTTTTAATACAAACGGTCTTATCCCGCTTATAATCTTGAAACCGAGTGCCGCCTGCCTTTATATGACCGATTTTTATAGCTGTACACAACTCGAACGTTATAACGACGACACATTCGCATTATTTCATTTTCAAACTACATTACTTATATTGGTCTATCGAATATTTCTTTATATACATGTCATCTGACATTTTAAAACGCAGCGTTAAAATCATGAGATAATTATCGCGATTATAAAAAATACTGCGAAAAAATGTCTAACGATCATTTATATTCATTGTTGCGGCACGCGCGTGTAATCCGTGACGCAGATGCAGATCCAGCTAGTGTCGCGTACAGCTAGAAACATTTGTTCGGACAGCTGATTATGAAAATATATCAGATGTTTATTTGGTCCATCGCAGATACGAATGCTGAAACGAGGATGTGCTCTGAAATGCGTCGTGCTAACAATCTTGATTTTTTTCAAGGATGGCAATGAGATAATTGACAAGGAAAAATTTCTTCGATTATAAATTCCATTAGTTAGCAAGTTGATTTGTTAATTTTTTAGATTGCGCTACACGACGTACAGCGCTCAAATGATTGTAGATATAGATTAGTCGACATCGCGTTATCACGTACAACGCATTTCAAAGTCAACGCGAGTTCGGTATCAGGCGAGAAAGCGACAACACCGTCGTCGTCTCAATCTTCGAGGCGGTTAGTCCCTCCTTCCGTTAATCGAGCCTCGTTCGTCTCGCGACAACTATGCGACTATTCTTAGAAAAAGCAGCTGACCTTGGCCATCGTCAACCGCGATGCAAATTATCTGTGTGAAACGATTTGTTGCGTCAATCTAAATCGATCAAAATCTCCGGAATGCTTCGAGAAAATCTGAAGAAACCTATATATATATTTATATATATATTTTTTCAAATAGAATTATCGATAATCTGTTAAGTCCTGAAAGAAAGAGAGGCTTTTTCAAGAAATTTGGTAATTCCGAGAAACGTGAAAATGCCTGATAACTTGATATTGCAATTCATCATTCACCGAGTACTCGTTTTAATTCGCGGGTTATATTTATCACGCACGTCTCATGATACATAGATAACACCTCTTTAAGATTTACGACATTCGTCGATCTTTGTCACGAAAGTGACTTTCTTCGCGAAGGCGCGACCATGATCTGATCTGATCTGATCTGATGAAGCACGCGTGAAATCATGGAAGAGCGATCGATCGCCCTTTTAATTGTAAGGG